CTAACAATTTATTACACGGTTGTGCTCATAAAATTTAACTAACAATTTACTGTATGGTTGTGCTCATAAAATTCAACTAACAATTTATATCATGGTTTTGCTCATAAAATTACACCATTTTCGTCGAGTACCGTCAGACAAGACACTCATATTTTTTGTAGTATTTCAAACTATGTATACGGAATTTTGTCGTTATATTAATTACAACATTCTTATTTTAATATAAACTAAATCAAACGAGATCAACAATTCATATAAGTTTTTACAAAAATTATTTAATTATGATGGTTAGGCAGAAAATTTATCAAAACACCGGAATAACTTTATTTAAAACAATTAAATTTAACTATTTATTACATGGTTGTGCTCATAAAATTTAACTAACAATTTATTACATGGTTTTGCTCAATATAATACATTAAGAACAAAACAGGAGTTGCGATTGTCACACTGATTATTGTGATACACGCTGTGTGACTGTACGTGGCGTGCGGTTGACGTCGCATAGATGTGCACACCCTACCAAAGGCGTCGAGTAGCATCGGGTGTGTTCCCCGCTTAAATCGTGCACAGAAGTCGCCAAACTTCATAATAAAAATGAGCCATCCGTCCGTGAAATGAAATAAAAAACAGTGAGAAAATTCGTTCTTGTGATTCAAGAACACCTCAAATTTCGAAATCGGTTACGATAGTTGATAGTTTGTGGATTAGATGAATTGGACTCACAGTGTATCACAGGGGCCAATGGATTAGGGTGAAGTATAGCAACTCTGAATCTACATCTAGAGATTTCTGAAACTTACCGTTCATCAAATATTTACCTACACTGTATATAAGCAATTATAAAAAGTACAGTAGTTTCTCGTTAACCGCGAGGGATACGTACCAAGCATCGCCGTGGATAATAGGAAACACCTTGAAATTCAGGCTTTGAAACATTTTTTTCTCTATGCATACCAATCAGATACATTCTGTATCGCGAATCACGATTCGGGAACCATGCGGGGCCGGCGAACCATATTTCCTGGACGAAGGGGGTGTACGTTCTGCTCTATATACGGCCACGGTGATTAAGGCCTTATGCACTCGTCTTCTGACAGCAGGAAGGCCAAAAAAGCAGTGCTTGTTGTCAGTATGTGTAAGCTGCTGTACCATCCTGAATGCAATGTTTAGAAAAAGCGAAGCATGGGATTGAATGCTAACTTGGGTTTTTTGAACGTCATCTATTTCATAACCAGATTCATCACCTAAAACAATCACAAACGGTACTGATGCGATACCAAAACTGGCTGCTACTGCGAAACAGCGTTTAGCAAATGTCCATCGGTCCAAATCGATCCAAATATGTGGTATTTAGACTAGGGACTCTCAACACGACACACAGAAATGACACATCTTCACAGAAAACAAACACTTGAGCCCTGAAGATGATCTCAATAGAAGAATATAAACGTTGGCACGATAAAGAGTTTTTCTAAACCTATGTGACACCAGACCGCATCTCAAGATATCCAAATAATCACTGATATCAAAGATGAATGCTATTGCCATCGTAGTTCCCTACGAAACACTGCGAGACGCCGTTAGACGTTTTCGAGAAACTGGAAATGGAAAATTTCCATTCGAGTCACATACTTAGGCGTATACGTAAACAGTAGACTGACGTGGAATACACAAGACTTAAGAGACGATTACAACTTGAATGACAACTATGAAAAATTCTAACATCAAACTAACCTTATACAAGACTCAATTGCGATCATGACTAAAATTTCTTAGTGTTAGGTTGATATTGTGATCATGACTACAATTTCATAGTGTCAGGTTGATATTGTGATCATGACTACAATTTCATAGTGTTAGGTTGATATTGCGATCATGACTACAATTTCATAGTGTTAGGTTGATATTGCGATCATGACTACAATTTCATAGTGTTAGGTAAAATTTCTGTTTTACTTTCTTGCAAGTTTTACTATGGAGCTTTACGAGGATGTGAACTTTGACGAGCATAAAATGGATGCACTTGACGTATTTCTTGTGCCTTTAAAATTAACACACAAAAAATTTCTCTGGGAAGACGCAAATTTCCAATTATCGTACGACAAACACAACCCACAGATATGTCCGTTCACTTGGTACTTCGTCATAATTGAACACCAAAAGAAGCACAGGGGGAATTGAAAGCTACAGGAAACAAAGCCCCTTTGATTTATACCGTCAAAGAGCTGACGATCATGCCATTCCCAACGGGTCCACTACAAAAAAAAAAAAAAAAAAAAAAAAAAAAAAAAAAAAAGCCAGAAAATAAAAACAAAGCAACGATTTAGCCACGATAACGATGGATTGAAAATTTTCTACTGTATAGACGACATGGTTGCATTCATAGAATTTGTCAAAGCTTATACACGAGGGGTTGAGAACATGACGTGTTTTTAACATTAGTTACCGACGTTATTTTTCCTTTTTAAAAGCCGTCTTTTTTAACCCTTTTTTTAAATATTGACAATATGTATACACAAATAACGATTTTTTTATCAAACTAAATTCTCTGCAATTGCCAATGAAATGTAATATACAAAAATGTACTTAATGTTTGTAAGTGTTTAATTAGGACTATTGAGATTTAGTCAAATCTGTTTAGTATATCTCACCATTGAATCCCTTTGGTTAATTAGTAATTAGAGTTAAACAAACACCATGTAGCAGAGCAAGTTAACTGTTATTTGGATTAGCACTTAGATGAGTTGGCAGTTTACTCTCTGTTTGCATTTCTCTCTCCCTCCCTTCAAACCAGCCCTTAACACCTAACATATTAATGCTTGCATTGATTTTATTTTCTTCAGACTTAATTTCATAACTTCAAATACAATTATTCAATTTATAAGCACACACAATGATTATGTTAAAAATTATTTGCATTATCGTTTAAAGTGTTCATTTTAATTATTCCTTTAATGTAATTAATTTGTCATGAACTCGACAAACCAATTAACAAACTTGTCCAAATAAAATATTAATGAGAAAGATTTTACTTTCACTTTATTCTGCAACGCAAGAGCAATAATGATCGTTAGTTTTATTTTTGTGTGGCATTTAGTGATTGTTAATTAATGATTATTTAGAGATGGTGAGATGCGGCCTGGTGGGGTGTAGGGTTAGAAAAACATTTTTAGATACACTCGTAATAAAACAACCGGATGGCACATTATTCATAGATTATTTCAAGATCGTGAGATAGGTTTTAGAAAACATTTTCTTTATCATGCCAACATTTCGATCTTTATTGAGATCTTCAGGGCTTGGGATTTATAAACATTGTTTAAATTATATAAATACATGTAGAATGTGAAAAAAGTGAATTTATGCAATGCTAGAAATTTTAGACTCAATCAAAGTATTTGTACTCACAGAAAACAAACACTTTGAGTGAGTACAAATACTACGGCACGATAAAATGTTTTTCTAAAACCTACGTCATACCAGACCTCATCTCACGAGATCTCCAAATAATCATTAACTAACAGTCACTACACACCACACATAAATCACAGATTGGTATCAAAAACCAAGAAACAGATCGCTACCTCAACTTTACACCACACCATCCCCTTAATGCAAAATAAACACGGTCAAAGGGCTACTTTACAGAATTTTTATCCTAAGCCATTAATCTTTTCACCACAAGAAGATAAAGATATACAAACATACCCTGCATAATAATCACTACCCTAAACATATAATCAACCTATAAAGATATTTAACAATAATAATTATACACATATTTCCTGGGCTGGATCCCAAATGAATGTTACAAAGCTTCTTTGATAAAGCTCAACATCCCACAGGGATCACACTTAAGCCCCTTGCTATTTAACATCTTCTAGGGGATGGGGATAAAAGGAGTGGCCACAAGGCCTTCGAAACCTCGACTTGAGTAGATCTATTGTGCTCTTTTAATTTTATAAGTCACTGACCAGCTTCAAATTGTTAATCAACGTACAAAGCCTTGCCAACGACTCCTAAGTGTAGGATTGCAGTTTTTCTTCTAGTTTCAAGAATCTTCACCTACATAGACTTTCACAAGTGTCCAGAATAAAGTTTTTAATTAAAAAAAACTATAGATTTGAAAAAAAATCCATAATTAATCGTATGTTACACCGCCAGAAGGTTAAAAAAAGTTCAAAAATATTTTAGGAGAAAGCTGGGGTGGGTGGGTTCAAGTCAAGAATTCAAGCGGCCCTGAAATTTACAGTGATGAGCCCCGTGTCAATGCTTAAACCGTTGCTCCTTCCTAACCACTAAATTTTAAAACCCATGTACAGTTTTAAACATTAAAAGTAAATTATGAATTATTAGGGGTTTTATAATTATTTCCTTAATTTAAATAAAGTACTCTCGTCATCCACGCCATCCATCATACACTCGTCATTCATCCGCGGTTACCCTTCTCCCATCGAGTTCTAGTGGAATGTGGCGAATCTAAAAAAATACAACTGAGCATAATTGGATTCTTATTCAAATAAAAACTTGAAAATTTTGTACAGAAGTTCATACATAACATTTTCGAGAGGCACACACGATACTGAATGTGTCTAATTTGTATACAGATGAAAGAAACACTTTGAAGCCTGAAATTTGAGGTGTTTTCCGTAATTCACATTGGTACTTACACCCCACAGACACGAGAGTATACTGTAAACTGTGATTAAGGAGATATTTATTAATAAGTCTAGAAGTTGCCATAGCATATAAGCTATGTAATAAACTCAATAATTCTAAACTAACATTTAAATTCCATCCAAATCATTTGTCAGACATACATTTTGTTACAAAGGTATGCAATATATGTTTAAAATAACTTTGTATTGCAACCAATTTCTAGTATGATAAATAGCCAATTCTTAAAATCTTTTATCCAGCGAATTTAAAAAATAAGATAGAACAAAAACCAGATGGTAAGTCACCTTTTTATTATTTATTTGTTTGCTTTGTTTTAGGTGGGGGAGATTCAGAAAATACAGCAGCTGGAGTGGCATGTATAGTATGCAAAACAGAATCGAGTTGCACGAGAGCTCTTCCTCGGTATCAAGCTAGTCAGTACAGTTTGAAAGAAGAGGACATACCGCCTGATGCAAGAGTGTGTAATTTGTGCCACTGCAAAGCAGTTCGATCCCGTTTTACCAACTGCCCTATACTCACTTGCCCTAACACTAAAGGATTTAGGGTTAAACGACTTCGTCCTTTACCTTGTAAATGGGCAGATTTGCCTCCACAAATAAAAGAGCCTATAATAAATGAATTTCGTAAGGGTCTTAAAATTTCATACTTTTTAGTTTATCATTAAACAAATTTCACGGCTAACTTTTTATTATAGAAATCGATGAATCTGTGACGAAGTGTTGTTCAGTATGTTACAATCGTATTGTAAGAAGAATAGGCATTCATACTGTGGATACTGGTGGAAGTGGGGATTCCGCTATGCCTAGCTCGCCTTGTTCTCTGAACTCGTGGTCGGAAGAGGAAATTTCAAATCTAAAAAGAGGTTTGAAACTCCATGGAACAAGATGGCATGAAGTTGCTCAAATAGTTTCAACAAAATCATACAACCAATGTATGAACTTCTTTTTTAAGTACCAAAAGAAGCTTGGTTTAGACCAGCTTCTTCCACAAGACATGAAGGTATGTTGTTTTTTAAGGACATAAGCATATTTGTTAGTATTTGTTAAAATTGTTACACTGTAATTTTTCCTTTGTACAGACTTCTACAGACGAAAGAAAACCTGTACTTACTGATGAAGAAGAGTCAGGCTCAAGTACTTCGAGTTGTGATGAAATTGATGCAGTTGGTGTCGGTGACAGTGATACAACAAGTGCGCCTTCGCCCGTTCATCCACCAGGTCCTAAAAATTATTTGAATTTATTACTTGTTTATGTACAATTTTCAAATTAAATTGATTTGTATATATTATTTAGGTCCTCTTTTAGAAGAAGATAGTAAAGGAAGATCAGATGGAACACCACCACCACAGCTGATTCAGGAAGGAAGGGTGTCAGTTAATAGTAACGATTTGCACGATAGATCAACCACTTCTTCATCTCCACAGGGAAAGACAACGGGCCCAGGGACTCCTTCTTTACCTCCAGTTTTGATACCTAACAGAGAGGACTATGACAGTTCTGCCACGGTGACTATTTTTTACAAACGAATACAATACTAACTTAACGATATTTAATTATGAACGTCTGAAGATCTTATTTACAATAATTAATAAAACATTAACAACAGTGTATAAGTGCTGCCGTATGTTGATAGGAGACAGCAGATGAGGGACAAGGTGGAGGTGAAACCGAATCAGGGGCCAATCGAGGACCTACGCCCAAAAGAGACGAGGAACCCTCATCCCCGTTAACCGTCAAAGACTTAATGTTGGGAGTAATAGAAATGCAGCTCAAGAAAACCCAAGGTATTTCATAACGTATAATTTATTAATATTTGTTTTTATATATACATTGCTCTGGTTGATTTTTTATTCATTACTTATTTGTTAGGACAAGGTCAGTCGACCAGTAACCCAGGTGGGGCTCCTACAATTTCTTCTATTCTGAAAACGGACCATTCATCAGTAGGTTACCTTCCACGTGAAAAACCTCGTCAAGTAGATAACTCTTTAGCGACCGTTTCTGTTGTCAACACTCATCATTCCCACCAATCTGTCCAGGAACTGCCAAAAGAAGGTCTTGTTGTAGTGCAGGTAATTGTTTTGTATTGTTATTGCTAAAAAATTACATTTAAAGTTTAATCTGTCTTATACTCAATGATATGTCAAGTTTATGCTGTGATATAATTTGAGAAATTGGCTAAATTTAGCTTATTGTTGTAGTATTGAATGTAAGTTTATAAAAGTTTAACACAATCAGCATGGAGGCGACATAGTCTGATTGGCAATGGCTGTCCCATCTCCCATTGTATCACCAAGTCTATGCCACCATGCTGAATATATTAAAATAGTTTTTTTCCAACATATAAAGAGAGTTAATTGCAACAAATGTTACACAAAACAATCTAATAAAAAGAACATTTCGATGTCTGTTAAATTAAGATGGACGCCAATAAAGTTTGATTATTTTCTTTCAAGGTACAACAGGCTATGCGTGGAGAACAAAGGGAGTCGGAAGGGGTGACTTTGGATCTGAGTATCAAGAAACCAAGGAATGATAACGCTCCTCAACCGTCTGCTTCCAAAAACGTTATTCAGCATCACATACCTTCTAGTACGCCTGTTCAAGGTCCGCATAATGTGTTCCGTACATCGCAACCTTCGAGTGATCATCCCACATATTTTCATCAGGTATGTTGAAATTATATTGGCTGAATGGCGTGAAATTCTAATGTTTTTTCTCCGTCTTTTTACAGCAAGTTCTTGCTCCTCCGTTGACGCCTAAACTCTCTCCAGGCATCATCACCTCTGCTGGAAATACCGCAACTTCGAAGGCGCAGTGCGGTTCCATTATACATGGTACACCAGTGTCGAGTCCGAATCTTTACAGTCAGCCACGTTATGAACCTTCTCAAACGTCGTTGATCCATCACACTTCACCACATAAAGAGACAGGATCAATTACACAGGGTATGTCATATCAATTTCAGTCTGATAAGTAGTTATTTATATTATTTGATTTTTTTCTTAAAATTATGTTGTTGTTTTTTCATAAATGAGAAAAACAATGGGCTTACAAAAGTATTTTGTAACTACGAAGATCGGTATACTTTAAAAATTGTAATATTCTTTTTAGGGACGCCTGTTCATCAAAGAGGTTCCCTTTATACTCCTCAGAATGCAGAATACTTCCATAAAAGATTACCTTCTTCTGCTTACTACCCTACAAGACCACCAGCTTATAATGTGGAATTAGAACAACGTCAAATTATTATGAATGACTATATTACTTCCCAACAAATGCACGCTCCGAGTTCGTCCTCTGGTTCAAGAAACGGAAGGGAGAAATTGTATTACCAGAGTCCGAGACAAGGAGTTATTCAAAGGCACAATACGAAACCCCCGAGTCCGGGAGCGAGCCATTACCCACCAGGCCATGAAGCGTTTTCTTCATTAGTCGATGTAGCTGTGAGACAGCCGAGTTTGCCCGTTCCACCGCATAGTGGCATACCACCATTGAGCGATATGAAAACGATGCAAGAAGAAAAGAGACATTTACATGAAGGTCTAGGAGAGAGGTTTAATAGAGAGAGTTCACACGAAAGGTAAGGCTTCTTTTTGTTCTAATATTAACGACTAACTAATAAAAATAATATCTCAATTTATTAAATTTTATTTTTAGATATTCAAGTAGAGAATCTGAGAATAGATATATAAAGGAAAATTCCAAAATTCACAATCCACCTACCTCTGTCACCCCTCAGTCTCAAGAAAGGCGTGAAATGCAGCAGCAATCTTTAATTCAATTAAGAGACCCCTCTCATAGTATTCGGGACCAAATGCCAATCAACACCCGGGACCAAATGTCTCATGGTTCAAGAGAATCTTATCGTCACCTCGATCGGGGAGAGTTACAACAGCATCAGATGCAGCAGTCGTTACGAGAGCAACAACCGATACATAGAGAAAGATCAGAGCATCATAGTCAACAGTCACAAAAAATCCGTGATCACCATCATCACATCCAGCAGCAAAGGGAACGAGATCATGACATCAGAAGTTCAAGAGGACAAATGCCTAATTTTTCACAAAGGATCATTCATGAACCCCATCATTCGATCGATCAAAGATTAATCCAAGTTTCAAACTTCAGAGAACAGCCAACTTCAACACAGCAATCTAGTATGTCGTCTCATTCATCATCACGAGGACATAGCCAACAAGAACAAAGGTACTTTTTTTTTGTTACTTGTGTGGACAAATTTAAAACAGACTAGATAGATGAAATATCCTGAACCTCGATTCCCACCGTTGCCTCTGGCCCTTTTTTCACGATAACCCCCCCCCCACCAATTTGAACGTAAAATAATTTTAAAACATTTTTTATTTTGTAATTCTAGTATCGATGTCCAGCAACAAGGAAGTCGGTCTAGGAGTAATGAAGGTTCAACGTTAACTGCTGCAAGTTTAATCGATGCAATCATAACCCATCAGATTAATCAGAGTTCGGATTCTCAAACAACATCAACATCTTCAGGTACCGCTAATACACAACAGTCTCAGCCAACACGACCTGGGGATCGGCTGTTCCAGGTATGCTTAATTAAAGATATTTCATGTAAATTAAAGCTTTTACTTTCTATATATTAACAACTATTAATATGTATTCATTGCAATAATAACTGTTGCCAATTTAACAACAGTACAGTTTGTCGCTTTCCTTGTGGCTATTCAATTATTTATACAATAAATGAAAAATATAATAAAATTATTATTAAAAAAATACAGCTAATAAATAACTTTAAAATCAGTTTAAATTTAAAATAAACAAAAATCGGTATCTTTGTTCCAGAGTTTCCATCGAGAGTGTAATGAATCAAATGGAAAAATTTCCCCATTGAAAGGGAATGTGTACAACAGTAAAGAGGAGGTCAGTAAACAACAGCAGCAGCAGCAGCAACCACAACAACAGCAGCCTCAGCATCAGCAACAACAGCCACCAACTTCTCAACAACAACAGCAACAATCCCAACAACAATCACAACAGCAACAGTCGCAGCAACCACAGCCACCTCCAAGTCATCATGTAGTGACAACTTCAGTACACATTGCACATCAACAAGTATTACCACCTAACGAGCACATGGATGTTTACAATTCGGGCCCTCCTCAAGGGATGCGTTCTGTCCTTTATCATGGCTTCGATCCTCAAACTTGGAAATTGCGTCGTGCATTGCAACCGAAAGATGTTGAACAAAATCACCCGTCCATGCCGTACAGTTCTGAGCCTCCTGTACCCCTTTCTCCTCTAGACTACGTGAAAAATAGAATCGCCGAAGTCATGCGAACATCCGAAGAAGAAGGAGCCAGCACGAAAGGAAATGAAAGTCCCGCCCCTTCTGAAATAAACACCGAAGAGAGCCCAGAACCAGCGATAATATCGACAACATCGTTTATAACACAATCTCACACTTACACTTATCCTTTCAGTGCACTGAGTTTAAGCGCCGGGGCTACGACCGGCGTCCCTCCTCCTTCGATTCCGCCTCCAAAAGTTACAAAACCGATTACAGAATCGATACCAGAACCCGCGCCACTTCTTTCAGCCCAGTACGACCCATTATCAGACGAAGATTAATGTATTTTAAGTGTTAAAACAATGGATTTTCTTGAAAGAATAAAGGGATTAACTCGAGTGCATAATTAACATAGAAGTGTATGTTTATCGGTTTGCACACATTTTAGCTATGAATGACTGAGACGATTACTTCACAATGTGGTCAAAAGTTTCTTATTGCCATTGGATGTATATTTGTATAGAACTAGGATTATCTTCAGTTGTAAATACGTAAATCAGGTTTACGTCATGTTTATGGGTTAAGAAGACCTGTTGAGATTTTTTGAAAAAATGGCTTTTATTAAAAGTTTGTTAAGGGTTTATAAATTGTAATTAATGAGATTTGTGTAATATCGTATCTATAAATAACAAATACTTAAGCGTAACTATTCTACAGTTTTACAGAATATAATAACAGTATACAGAAATAACGACTACACCTAAACCGAACATGGATAGAGCGGTTTCAATTCTTTCATCGTTTTATTAAAATTTGTTTTACATTTCAGGAATCTGTATAATTAATGCCTTATATATGTCTTTACACTAAGTGCTAAATAAAAGTTAAACGTTGTTACAGTATAATATTTGATCCATTCATTTTCTATTAGGAGTATATCGACTATTAATTGAATTAAGATAGATTCGACTTTTACAGCTATTCAACAGCAAAATATGAACATTCATAGCTGATAATAGTTTTGCCCCTTTCTGAGCGATGCTCAAGAGAACAAATAAAGCGATAGAAAATACCTTACAATGGATGGATTGAATGACAATTAAGTGGACAATATTTGTTAAATATAGGTGCAGATAATTGTATTTAAAATATATGTGCATTAATTTTATTATTTCTTTATAATTTTTACTGTCTAAGTGTACTGTATAAGACACTACAAGCAATGAATCTTGTAAATATAATGTCCAAATAAATATAAAAATTGTAATGTGTTGTTGATCATGACATAAGTTATAAAAAGAGTCTATTGATTTTATTGATTTTTTTTTAATTTGTTACAATGCAAGTTTATGTGTGTATATACATGAAGAATGCATGTTAATTTTTATTTTTTCTATATTGTTTTACAGGACTCTGTAACACTATACTTTTTTAAATAAACCAATTTCTAATTCACCTGACACATTTTGTATATATGTATGTACATAATTATTTATATATATACCTAAATGTAATAAATAATTTCATAATTCGAACAAAGAATAATTCAGAAGTAAATTTAATTTTTAATTAGAAAAAAGTTAAATGTACATAAATATTTTTTTTCTGTTGTATATTATTTGTTAAGAACATGTTATAATGAATTATAACATTGGTATATTATAATTTCTTAGTGTCTTGTTATGTATAAATTAGAGATTATGGCTTTTGTTTCATTATTATACCGGGTTTTTACTATCTTATTTATATTTAATACCTTTCTTGGTCATTTCCTTCATCCCCATAAGAATTATGTTTATTCAAAATGTATCTTTTATTTCATCAATCATGCTTAAGTTTCTTTTGATTCACTGTCATGGGATAAGTTTACAGTCGGCCCTTAGTTTATGATTTTTTTTTAACTTAAAAAATGAAAGAAATTATCACTTAAATAAATTCACGATAAAGCAATAGTTGTAAAACGAACGTTTCCTGGGTGTAATTTCAACAAAAACATGTCTTGTACTTTTAATTTTCAATTTGTATGTCTGAAAAAAAAATTTTTTTTGTGTAATGTTGTATGTAATAAAATGAAATAATTAAAAAGTAATATTGTATTTGTGTTGATTTCATTATGATAACTGAGTAATTCTTTTAAACTTGAAATAATTTAGTATTCTTCTAAACTTAAGACCCATTTTAGATTTACTATGAGCTATTTTTTATTTATTACTTGCTCTAGGAATATCGTAACAGTTATTATAGTTGGAATACAGGTAATAGTCTCAGGAGAATGATTCAAAGGTAAATATTATTTAAAATAAAAAACATCACTTAATTTGTCAAAAATAATTTTTCGACATGATACTTTTATTTGAACATTACTCAATTTTACATGGTATTGCTATTATGCTAAGCCGGTTAAGTAAAGGGCCGACTGTTTTCACAAGACTAAATATTTAACATAGCTTGTTTAATATAGTCTCACCACCAATTAAGCTATATTTTTTAAACATTTTGCTTAAATAAAATAAGTACATTAATATAATTTATTGTTCTGTAATTAAATTGTAAAAAAGGAATAATGTAAGTTGTACATTTTCACATGCACGTCATCTCCATTTTGACATGTTGCAAGTAATTCTATGATGAATTTAGAAAAGGTAATGGATATTNTTTTTATAAATACATATATATATGAGGATACTTCAACTACAAGGTTATATGAACCTTCAAGGTGCAAAAAAAACAACTATGTTGAGTTCGAATGCAAGGCTGCTGGATTTGAACCCGGGACCTTAGAGTAATGAGAGCCATATCAACGCCTTAACGTTGCGGCCACTGACGACCCTGTAGCACTTTTTTTACAAAGCTAATTAGTGGTGAAACGATCAATATGGATTTAACCTTGCTTCAAGTTACAACAAAACTAAATATATCAAACATTCATATTTGAATAGTGCTAACACAATTTTGTTATTTAAAAATAAATTTAAAAAATATACCTCATTTTCAGTAATGAGCGTTTTAAGTGTTCGCTCACTATCAACTCTTCCTCGTCACCATGCACAGCTCTCCGTAATACAGCAGACACATCATAAACACTTGATCATAGACCTGAAAAAAATTAAAAGTATACATATATATAATTTGATCTTTCTTTCATTTTTGAAATAGGCACAAAAATTAACGTTAACACAAACAGATAACATTATAGTATAAATACAACACCCCTTTGTCTCATATTTATGATTGTATTTGCAGAATAAAATAGAAATAGACATGATTTATAAAATAAAATAAAAAAATTTACAATAGGGCTTGTCCCCTTTACAGTGAGTAGAAAAATATGAAATAATTAAATAGCAAAAAGGTTACAAAATATAATGCAAGAAATAATAATTAATAAACAAAATTTGTATGTTATTAACATCTATATATATAAAACAGTTCCGTGACTGACTTACAGGCACTGGTACCGAACCGCTGGACTTAAAAGGCTGAAATTTCGAAAGTGCATTTCAATGACATGGATAGCCGTTAAGAAAGGATTTTTTGAAATTCCGTCTATAAAGGGATCATGTGGATGAGTTTTTGCCATGTATTGACTGAACTGAAGAAGAGAAGAATTTGAGAAACGAGACATTATAAAGCCATACTAACACTGCGCATCACGTTAGAAAGGTACATTAAAGCAGAGTCCTGCGTGGTTGAAGTTGCGGATAAAAGCTAGTAGTTGAATAAGAATGAAGGAAAGAAGTAGGTATAAAAGAAAAAGAGAGAAGAAAAAAATAATAGCAACAAGATAACAAGTAATAGCACAATCCTCCTTTTTATGGCTCGAAAGTACCATGAAACTTTCATCAAAGAGGGTTAAGAAAAATTATTTAAAAAATTTCCACAATGAAACTATTGTGGAATCTGGATTAGCTGTAGTATCGATGGGCACAATAGAAAATTAAATTAGGAGAATCTTTCTATAATCTCTTTGATTTCACCCTGACTTTTAAAATCCAAAAGTAAACACAAGTTACAACATAAATATAATAAAAGTAAAATATAAATATCATATATTTTTAAAACATCCTTTAATTTTAAAGATGGTATGAAATAAAAGCATGTAAAGTAAAATCTGTCTAACAAAATAGATATAGGTTTTTTCTTAGATTTGACAAAACAACTTAGACATGTCCCCAAAGTCAGAAGATGGTTTCATAGTGTGATCAGCATTGTTTGCAAAAAAGTTGAAAGCTTCACGCCTGAAAGCACGAAGGGGATGGGCCGACCTGATATGCCACGGTAGGAAATTCCAGAGAAGTACTCCAGCAACTCTCAACGAATCGAATCATTCATAGATTTGGACGTATGATGCCAGTTTTTTTATAATATTTAAACTACGGGAAGAATTAAAATATTAATATAATGAATAAGTATGATGGGCAGAGCTTATTTTTAAATTTAATTAAAAGTAGTTTTTAATTGTACCCTGTAGAAGTTACAAGGATTTTTAATACCCTGATGGATTTCATTAAATAATTAATTTATAATTAGAAATAATTCACTCATACATGAGGGCTTAATTTCCTACCACCCGTTGGGTGTCACAGATGGTGGGACTGAACTGCTTTACACTAGTTTTTTAGAGTAGCAAACTTACAGACCTAAACTTCTGGGGATCCGTAGGGTTCTTTCTGGGCTAATGCTTACGGAAGTCTTCCAAATTTATGGAAAGCATCCTAAGAACAGGAGGCTATTGAATATATAGGTCAGAAAACACCTAGCGCTTTCCTGGATAAGTTTTGAGGATTCTTTTATTAATACTGTCAGCACCAGGAGTTTTCTTATTAACTCTTTTGTTTATTGTGGATTTTATTTCAAGAGGTTGAGTTTGTCTTTCATTTTGTCAGGAACCGTTATAACAATTTCATTTATTTTAATTCTTTCCAGAATCTTGCAATGGCTTCTCCTTAGATCTGACTTTATTTCCTTGTATCTAAGGAGTTTCCCATTGCTGTAATAGGGCAGGTATGTATTACCCCTGTTGTATTGAGACGCTAGCCTTTTGAAGACTTTGTAGACGATAGTGGATAATAGATGTCTGACAATCTGACCACGTGGCGTATTATAACCAGTACGCCATCCTGGGCTTTAATGTCTGGCCAATGCTTAGTAGAGCCTTTGCTTTAAACAGAATGTTGCCTATATTTTTTCTCCATTTGAGTCTTTGATCAAGGGTTATACCTAGGTGCTTTGTTTCTTTGGAGAAAGTTAAGGCTTCTTCTTTCATAAAGGGTAATTTTAGATGTAGCTTCCTTCTTCTACAAGGTATGAGATATGTTTTCTTAGGGTTTATGTTCTCACACTATCTTCCTACAATAGTTATGGCATTTTACATCTAATTTGACAGAGTCATTGAATTTCCGTTTTACGATTGTTTCAAGGTCATCTGTGTAAACTGTATTCTGCCGACCCTAACTAGGGGATCCTTGGTAACTAGGGGATAACTTGGTGCCCTCCTGTCAGCTCTGGTGGCCGCTCGGCTCCAGTGGGGGTTGGACTGACGTTAGCAGCCTATCCAATCTAGACAGCCGAATGTAGATACAAAGCAAAAAAAAAAAAACAAAAAAAAAAAAACTAGGGCATCCTCTTTTTTTGACGTGAACTTTGAGAAAAAATAATATTTTCAAAAATAAACTAACTATGACTAAATAAAATTAAAAATTAATAACAATGAACTATATTAATAACTAATAATAACTATGAATAACTAAAAATGAAAGTTTATTTTTTTTCAGCAGTCATTGTGTTCTCTTCAGACATGCTTTAGCTATGAAACAAATGCCAGCCTCTTTTAAGAAAGTTTTGAACGAGTCTGTTCAAATTAGTAATTATATCAACAGCCACTGAAGATATGACTTTACCCAATACTATGAGTCAATATAGGAAGACTTCATCGTTCTTGCTTCTCCACATAGAAGTGAGGTGGCTGTCTCTTTCACGATTACAGAAATTACGTTCTGAAGTCTTATCTTATGGACCACAATGTCAAATTGGTCAAAGTTTGCAATGATGAGACATGGCAATGTATACGGTTGTATTTAGCGGATATTTTTGTTAAAATGAATGAGTTGAGACTTTCTTTGCATGGGAAGAGTATCACAACTTTCGATGCTAATGACAAAGTTCTCGTGTTCAAAAGAAAAATTCAGTTTTGGGTAGAATCTGTTGAGAAGGAAGAGGTGGAGTGGTTTTCCTGCGTTAAATGATTTTGTCAGAAGAAAACAAACTGGAGCTTGCGAACGGCACGTTGATTGATGGAATATATGAGCTCCTTCGAATTTGGGAGATGTCCATTGAGCACTACTTCCCAACAGCACGAGATACAATGCTGCAAGACCATGAATGGGTCGTCGAACTGTTTTCAATTTCAACAAAGCCAACCATACTATCTTGAAGTGAATACGAATATTTGATAGACATTACTTCAGACTCCACCTTGAAAATCTACTTTCGAATCCGATACTTACCGCCATTTTTGGCTCCGTCTGAAAAGAAAAAAAAATTCAACAGCTCGTTGAAAAAGCAAATTTTTTTTTCCATTTGCATAACTTATGTGTGTGAACCGGATTTTCTATCCATACAGCCACCAAAACTAAATACCGAAACTGTCTAGATGCTGAATTCGACATCCGTCTCCAGCTATCAAAAATTAAACGCAATATCCAAATTGTGCAGACTAAAACAACCTCACTCTTCTCATTAATTCATAAATCATTAATGTTCAGATCATTACTTTTGAATTTGGCTCGGGTTTTACATACCTATTTATACCATTCCAATTTGATTTTTGTGTTGTTTTGATTTGTGTTAAAATTGTGCTAATTTTAAATACTTGAATACAAGGGGTCTGTCCTAGATTTTGTTCTGAGAAAAGGGATCCGTCTGCTGGCTAAAAAGTTTGGGAACTCCTGGCATAAACTATGGTATATCCTACACACATTCCATAGTAAAAACAGGTAAAGTCCCAATAGGCAATAGAGTTCAAATGAGGGTTTTCATTCACCATCCACCAATTCTGTGACTCCGATGTACTTTTTTTATAATACCCTGAAACCTTAGCTCATAGCCTTACCTAATGAAGTTAGATCATTTTTTATGATTATGTTAAATTTCATTTACACAATGAAACAAAAATAATTAATGTTTTCTGCCACTTTTGTGTACTGCTGAATAAAACTTGGACCGTTTTAAGAGTTTTACATTACTTAGTACACCTAATGGCCAAATTCGATAACTATATATTTCATATTTCCTATTCTAGGTCACTCGCATCAAGAATACGACAAAGACATGCGAATCATTGACAAAAGACTGTCACATTACCTAATAAAAAACTAATTTCCACCTGTGTACCATATTAGAGCCCCTTCCTGAAACTTGAGGCTACTTTTCTTCCAAAGGTTGCTTATCTATTGAAAATTAAAATAAAACAAAAATATTAATTTCCCACACCAAAAAAAGGTAAATTGTAAATAGTAATTACTTTATCATTGTACACTCAAACTATGGACCCAACTCCATTTTGTACTAGAAACAAGAGTCCATTTAAGTAAGCAGGTAGTTCATTTTTTTCTATAGAATGAAAAATGCACCACCACCGTATACAAAAAGATCAATAGAATGATATCTGTGAAATCACGAGATCAATACAAAAATCAAAGCAATTTGTACGCTCTTTTCCATATATCCACATCTTTAGTGGAAGACAATCTTCTTCATTTTTATAAATCGCTTAATCAAAAGAAGTGTTTGTAACCTAATAAAGCCAATAACGTCCCAGTTAAAAGCCGTGTTTTCATAGAACCAAAAATATAAATCAAGTGAAAACTGAAGAAGAAAAAAGTCTGTATTGTAAATTGAGTAAAACAGCTTTAAATTGCCTGAAAACAGTAATGATACGGAGGAAAGAAGAATGGAAGAAAGGTCGTTAATACATAAAACGAGAAAAGAACCCAGTATACGTATATTTTACAAATATCAGTTCGTTTTGTATCAATAAATAAGTTATTTTATTGATAAATTAAAAGTTCTTACCTTTCAAGCTTCCTTCATTTTAAAAAACTCAAACAGGTAATGAAAATAAAAGAAAATGGAGGATAACGGTCACTATTCACATCCAATGCCTTCTAAGAGATTCTCCCTCAGGGTTTGAAAAGTCAAAACTATGTGTAGTTTATGGCTCAAATTGTTTTTTTAATTTATAAACTACATATAAAACAATTGTATGAACAAACAAACAGACTAGCTTAAAAAAATTACGATTACTTTAATTATTATATAGCGTAATCCAGTTAAGATTCTAGTTTTGTAATCTGGTGTTATTTCCTGTTCAGGCATTAATTGAAAATTTGCCGTTAATAAAATATATAAAAATTTAGTATATACATTTATTTTAATTGAGTTCATTTATTATTTAATCTGTACTTGCTTCAGCGGTACGTACACTTAAATTGGAACTATACAGAGAGCGTCAGTGGGCCGTATCTGCAGAGAAGCTCTGACATCAGAGGGACGTCGATACGTGGCCCTTGGAGGACCTGACTCGGGAAGGGTCATCCTCACCAGATTAAGGATAGGCCATGCGAGGTTGTCACACGGACACATACTTTTGGGCTGAAGCCCGCTTGCTTGTCAGGCATTTAGAGAAAGGTTGCTCGATGTGCCTCGTCTATTGAAGGGTGCAATTTCTTAGCTCTATGTAGAGAATATGTAGGATTGCCACCCGATATGAGAATCCTGCTCGAGCAGCGAGTATGTGGGTCCACTATTTCGATTTTTGAAGGAAATAGAATTTTTTTAATTGTATATAGTAATGATAGTTTTCTGTACCTAGCGAGAGGTCAATAAAATCTGACACCCATTCTTAAAAATGACTACATGATCCCAGAAAAACTCATTACAAGTCTCAACAGACTATATAGGAGTAGAAGAACATAGCAGAGCATCAGTTACAATGATATAGTATACAGATGGCCCTAAAACAAACAAAGGAAACAGATCGCGTTTTTTGTACAAGACCAAAATATGAGCAGTTAAACTCATTAGGAAAGTACGCTTCGGTCTTTCAACATGAAATAAATGCCATCAATGCTTGTGCCCTAGAAAATCTTAGATGTTACACTGACAAAAAAAATCGTAAGATAGCCAAGCACCTATTAAAATTAGCATGTAAAAAAATCACATCAAAATTAGTCAATGAATGCATCCAAAATCTCCAAAACCTGGGGAAACACAATAACCTGATGATATCTTGGGTGTCAGGACACAAGGATTTCGGGTAACCGAAAAGCAGACAGACTGGCCAGAGGAAGATCTGCAAGACCATATACAGGGTGTTCTGCGACTTGTGTTACAAACTTTGCCAGTAGATTCTACATTCAAAATGGAACCAAAAAGTCATAATTAAGTATGGTCCGAATTTCAGTAGATTCGGAGTTATTCCCCTTTTTGATTTTTTAAGATTTCTTGACAGCATCTGGAGCCCAACCTTGGAGACTGGATGGATAAGACCGAGGTCTGACCCTGGACTGCCAACTACCATGGTAGGTGATTATTGTTTCCTGCTGGTAATTTATTATAAATCACAAAAGCTCTAAGTGCCAGTGGACTGTGAGAAGCGGATAGGCTCAACTCTGTACATGTGTGTATGTACGTGCATATGTGCAGATTTAAACTTATATACATTAGTAATCAATTATCCTTTATAACTTTCTCACTTAAATTTCTAACTTCCACTCCTTAATCATACTTTCTGTAAGATTTTCTTCATTCCTCACATTGCTCATGCTTTCTTCTTTCTTGTATCAACCAATTCCAGAAAATAGTTAATAATCTTATTCAGAAGATTTCACAAATATATATATATAAATTCTTTACAAAACATTAGATCATATCAACTAGCTGTGCGAAACGTTTAGATTATAACTTGTCTTTTTTTACTGGAATATGATAATTATAACAATATAATTGGAAGTTTTAACGATTTTTTCAAAGTTTGTTGAACTTTTGTGGTGGAATTCCATTATCAAAGGTTGATCAATAAAGCCTTTAGTTCTAACTATTTATTAGTTCATTCAGTTATATAAAAAGCTTTTTGTTTGCATTGTAAGCAACTTCAGCCCTTATTTTATACATAAATAGAATAACAAATATATATATATTTTGAAAAAAAGAGAAGTTATAATTCTATTACTGCTTAGCAGAAGATAAGATTTGTTCTGATTTCGTAGTATTCTTTATAATTTATTGTTTATGTTTATTTTCGTAGTCTATAAATAGGTTTTTAGTTATTATTTTTTGTTTAATCTTTTATAATTGTGCAATTTACTTTTTCATCTACTTGTACTTTTCCCCTTTGAATGATGTCATTTCTCCAATATGACGTCTTATGACGTAAGTTTAATCGTTACCATCCAAAAGTTGTGGACGACATAAAGTGAAATTTACCTTCCGTGAGTAACCTAACTTTTCGAAAAACAGCTGTTGAAATCTGTAATATAAATTGTGAACGTTTTATTTTATGTTTTTTTTGTATTTTATTTATTTATATTTTTATTTGTTTTGTTGAAATTTAAAACAATTTTCCCATGAATTGCACTGCGTTTTATCATATCAACTTTCTTCAAATAGGCGTTATGATGGTCTCGCACGAGTGCCCTATTTATTTCTAGGGCTTTTGGCACAATGCATCTCGACGTAAGTGGTTTTTTTAAATATATTTTCTTATTTAGAGCCGAATAGTGTTTTTTATTTAAAGAGTGTAAACATTCTGTCGCTGTCGGCCGTGTGTTAAACCTAGAAAAATAATTTTGCTATCGTGAAAACTTCCATTCAAACATTCTTCTATTAGTCAAAATACAAAACGAATTTTTGCATTTTTATTAAATTTTTGTATAAATTTTCGTTGTCAACTCACATGCAAATGCTGTGCCCTTTATCCAGGAAAACAGGGTTAAAAATTATCAACCAATATTTAGATTTGTTTGAATGTAGACTCTGTAAAAAAAATTCCCGGACATCTTCAGTGAAATACCTAATGGACAAAATTAACGCACCACCGTTAAATTTTAATGCATTTAGGTTTATTTATATTATGCATACCAAAAACAGGTTTGGTTGTACAAAACAAAAACAAAAATGTTTGTTATTAATTCTAAAAAAAAAAGAAAAACTTTTTTGTCCCCTTTAATTAGTATATTAGTATATACTACCCAGTATTTAAACCTCTAGTATGAATTTAAACACCTTTGCATTGTTTGGAAAATATTTAAAATACTGAGGTACATCAAGAACAGCCGTTTCCAACTCTTCTAGGGTGTTAGGACATGAGATTCACCGTCAGACACGTTGTTTAAATTGGTGCCAAATGTGTTCGTTTGTGTTCAAATCTGGACTTTGAGCACTCGTTTCCAACCTCTTTCAGATAGTTTTGCACATTACGTGCTCTATGGGGCTTTGCATTATTCTGCATTAGCAAGAATCACCGATATGGAGGGGGTGCAAATGGCACTACAAGTTCTTCGATTATGTCTTGTGAATAATATATTTGGTAGCATCGAGTGGATACTCTATGAAGTTAGAGATCTTCCTCGCACAAAAGCCAATTCAGTGTGGGCGTCCAAGGAAATGCCACCCCAGAACATCGTTGACCCAACGTGTATCGCCACATGAGGAACCATACAGCATGAGGTGTACCTTTCTCCTGAGCGTTTCCACATGAAATTACGCCCTTCTGAAGATTTGAGGCCAACTCTCACCTCATCTGTAAAGAGAACCCGTCTCCAATCTTCCAACGTCCAATTGTGTCTGTGCGAATTGTAGCCTGGCCATTTTCTGAGTTGTGGTAAGAAGATGTCTAGATGTCGGGCCCTGAGGTTATTTTCATCGACCCCTCTTACAATCTCGTTTCCCATAATGATACGGTTTCGTAGAGCCTGACCTGCCCTTCTAGTGTGAAGCCCTGTTTCTCTGAAGCGCCGAAGAATTCTTCCTATTGTAGAGTGATCAAAACTCGGTCTCCTGGCAACTATGCACTGGCTTTATCCTTCCTCTGATAACGTTATGACTCTGATACTGTCATACTTACTCAAAGGGCATAACGCTAATTTTTGTGCAAATGGGATTAATTAGTAAAAAGTAAACAGAGTATTATTTACTTTTTTTTTACTATGTTAGCTCCTAATTTACTGTAACTAATGTAGAAAGATATGAGTTTAATTTTAAACTAAATAAATTGAGTGGTGTATTAAATTTGTCCATCAGTTTAGAAGCAAACCTTTTAAATTAAAATAATAATGGGATAAATTGATTAACAATACAATGTCTTGGAACTATCAACGTCAATCAAAAAGAATCTATCAGTAGATCTCGTTATCCATGGGGGATAATAGGAAACACCTTGAATTTCAGACTTTTAAACATTTTCTTCCATCTGCATACCAATCAGAAGTTTGGAAGAAATTTGGCGCTCATATTTTGAACAAATCTGTAATTGTTCAGAGACTTTTTTTTACTGATTGTAAAAACATTTAGCCATTATATTGAAGACAACAAAATTGAAATTTAATATTTAATTTGCTTGTAAACACATTTTGAAAAATAATGCATACCTTTTTATCAATTTTAAAAATATTCTTTGTGTTTTCAGATGTCTTTGACAGTCCAGCAAGTTGTAAGTGATGCAAAAAATCTTGCTCTCAAATTGAAAGAAAGAAATGATACAGCCGATAAGCTCATTTTACAAGGGCATACAGTACACAGGAAAATTGATATAATGAAACAGGTCGGTTTTTTAAATATTTTATTTAGTTGTGATTATTGAGTAGGGCAAAATCAGTCATAAAATGACATTTCATGAACTACAATCACTACTTCTTTAACAAACTCATTTCAAACTGAAAAAAAAAAAAAAAAAAATAACATAAAATATCTCGGATAGTTGTCTATAACTAGAGAATCATGCCTCCATGGTTCTGCATATTTTTGCATATAAATGAACCATCAAAAGAACAGAACAATAGAAAATAGTGAACGAAGGCATCTTTGTTTTCCACTTCCCACACGAAATACCTTTACGAAGTGTGACTGTACAACCAGAACAGTTTGTGCAGGTTTAATGGTTTTGATAACTGCCACAAGTAAAATCATTTTAGAAATATTGTATTCAGGGAAATAATCTCCTTCAGCACTTTCTCCTATGTTACTAGCCATGTTATGCTCTTCTTATAAAAGTTTGAGTCCTTGGATTTAAAAAACAAATACAGCTCACTTTCCAGCTGTTGGCGATTATCGCACTCCTGATTGTGCATATATTCTTATGCTTGAATGCCATTGCTTGAAGGAGAAAGTCAGATGGGGCCAGGTACGGAGAGTAACCGTGCTTTATTATTATATTTTTTTGTTGCCTGGGTATACGAAGTCTCGCATTGTCTTGGTGAAAAATTACACCTTTCCTGTTCACAAGAGCAGGTTGTTTCTGAGTGAGAGACTCATTGCAGTTGGCTTGAGTCGATTTCTAGGTGATGGTTTGGTCTAAACATCACCGTTTGTTGGTGAATATTCGGTTTTTGTTTCAATGGGACAGGGGCATTTGATGATAGCCAACGGCCATGGTGTTACTATACAGGATCCATTTTCATACCATATGCCAATCCTTCACTTTGCGCCAACAAAACAATGAAAGGTAAATGTTTTGAGTCTGAAGCCCGTTACCATTGGTCAATTTATGAGGCCTCCATTTGCCCAAGTCTTCCCGGGTCAATCTAAGCTAGAACGAATGGTTTCATTGTTTGCGTTGAGTACTTTGGCAAGCTCCTGACGTGTTTGAATCAAATCAAGTTCGATACCTTACCTCAATTCGTCATCGTTCAAGCCAGAAGGTGTACCAGGCCGCGGTTCATCTTCAGTCGCCTTATTCCAGAAGAAGTATTTTCTGATCCACTTTTGGGCATTGCACGCACTTATTGTTTCATCATCGAATGCAGTACAAATTTACTAGCTGCTTCGGCTGCTCTAAAACTCATACAATAAGCATGCGCGAATTTTGGGTTTTGAAGTCATGAGAAAAAAAACCATAATTTATAGAGAACTGTTCAAAAAATTTTCTTAATCAATTGATGCATTATTTTCTTGATATTACCTCATATAAACACCTAAACCTCTTATAATTGAAAAGTTGGTTAATGGTATCAAAACAATAAGAATTTAAAAACTGCACAACTTTTCTAGTTACCATATGATGGTCGCTTTGTTAAATCATAAATATAAAATAATAATAAGTTAATAAACTTTGTTATTTCGCTTTCTTACATTTTGACATAATAAATTGTCACATGGACATTTTAAATTTGTTAATTATTGTAAATATCTCACTTGTGTAGAAATGATGAATGGTGGAGTGAGTGGGGGGTTCAATCCTTTTTAAAAAGATAGTTCCTACTCACAGTAAGTTTTAATTTCAAAATTTTCCAACCAATCTAGTTCTCTCCCTTTGTTGAAACTATGTAATACTGTTGTATTTAAATTTGAATCGAAATTATGTTCTACTTCTTTTAGATGGTCTTAAATTCTGAAAATTTGTTCGATTTAGGCAAGTGTTCTTTAACTCTCGGTTTTATTTATCTATCGCTTTGTCCTATATATTTAATGTCGCAATCATCACTTACTCTCAGTTACTGTGAGTAGGAACTATCTATTTAAAAAGGATTCTCACTTGTGTATGTGTTAAATATAAGTTCAATCGACAGCAAATATAAATAATTTGAAAGTTAATAATTACCAAAGAAAGATTTAAATATATTATTATAATAATGATAACTCTCTAGTACTAGAACCAAATTTGGCTGAAGAGGCTCTGTATTCAATGGGTTAATAAATTAATATTACTTATTTTTCGCGTTAGTAAGTAGAAATCATTGTCCTTAATTAATTATTGGAATATTTAATTAAAAATTGAATTTGTAATTTTTGCTCTAGAAAATTATTGTATTGTAGTTGTGTTTTCACATTAGCCAGAGTTCAATTGTGAGTTAAGAGAAGTTCAAGGAGGGTGAGAATAATTTTAGGGGATTTGAAGAATATAACTTAAGACAGGTTAAAATGCGACACCCTAGTACTCTTATAATAACTTTTTTTTTTTTTAGTGAAATGCACCAAATATGTTTGAATTTTGTTATGTAATATATTTTCTGTTAGTTGTTAATTAGTGTACAATTTTTGCTAACCATGGTAAAATGTTGTTTCAGTATGCTGAAGATACCGCTGAGCTCAATGATACCGCTAGGCACCGTCCACACTCTGTGCTAATAGCAGGAATTGAGCATGAAAATAGACATTTGCGTGATTTACAACAAGAAAATAAAGAACTGCGCGATGCATTGGAAGAGCAGCAAAATGCTCTCGAACTTATCATGTCAAAATATCGGAAACAAATATCAAAACTAGTTAACTCTTCCAAAATAGATTTCTCTAGAATGTATACAGATGTAAGCACAAATGAAATTGTATTTTTTTTTCTGTTATCTAATGTAGTACTTATTTCTTACTGTATAACATAACATAGTTAAATGGATTATTTCTAAGATGATGGTTTGCTTCACAAATTCCTACATGTTTATAAATAATGTTATATGTTGGTGCTAAATGCTAATATTTAAAAAAAAATTTTCAGACCTTCCTTGATCAAGCGTTAAAGATCGATGAAATGGCTGCTGTAATGGGAAGAGCTATAGATGTTGACGAGGAAGAGTTTATTAAAAATGAGCGACAACTTAAAAAGCTCGTTACTGAAAATGAGGTATACTTTTTAAATTTATTTTTAACACATTGATTGCAGCCTAATTTATCGCATAAAATAGCTGACTGGTGTTTAAAAATAATGTAAATGATTTTTTAATTTTTTATTACACTTTATCTAAGTGATAAAAATTATATGAAGCAACAGTGTGTAGGACACAAGTACAGGTAAATGAAGTAGGTAACTCACCCCCGTTTGTTCAATTTGGCTGTGTAGTTGAATAAAAGTCGTTTTAACTTTCTACAATAATTTTTCCTGTATTGTATGTAATCACTCAAAATATGTAAATAATCGATGAAAATAACCAAACATGTACAAAGAAAAGAAAATTACGTTACACCATAGAATAAATAAAAAATAACTTGCAGTTTAAAAAAAATTAAAACAACAATAGCAAGTGACAATTTTGCAGCTCTACAAATTTCAAACACAGCTATGTAGAGACAGTTGACATGACGCATATGTTACGTCTTTTCCAGTCAATGTGTTAAGCAACAAAATAACTCGCATTTAAATTCACTAATTTTGTGGTCCACTTGACCAATTAAATCATTACAATTAATTAAGGTTTTTAGCTGAGATGAAAAAAAGTTAATGGCATGAGAGGGATTTGAACCCACGACCTTCGGCTTGATACGCCGCTGCTCTACCACCTGAGCTATCGTGACCTCAATCCACTCGGACATCAACTCCCCATCTCAACCCCACCTTATGAGTTTTCCCTCCTTTTGCCATTTTTCAAATGTCGTGTAATCGTTTGGATTCTCGACGACAATTGAAATGGCGACGGAGAGCTTTAGTGAAGTGTATTTCATATTAATTCTTTAAATTCACTAATTGTTGGATCGAGGTCACGGTAGCTCAGGTGGTAGAGCAGCGGCGTATCAAACCGAAAGTCGTGGGTTCGAATCCCTCTCGTGCCATTAACTTTTTTTCATCTCAACTAAAAACCTTAATTAATTGTAATAACTCGCATTGTTGTGATAGCAATGTTTAAATCTAAAACATGTTTCAAATGCCTAGTTTTGTTATGACTTGAAATCAGGCTAAACACTAGTCGTTCTGGATTCAAATCCTGGGGTAATCCATGGAATTATAATTAGAATAGTATAAAAAAATATTTTGTGAAGTGGATTGATCCCTTTTCAGCGACACCCTACGGATGTACAAACGTTAAACCTTTTTGTATGACAGGAATTACTTTGCTTTTAAAAGAATATTTGATAATACATCTCTCTTACTGTAAATTTTTAAATTATTTTACAAAATACATTGAATTTTCTTACCTTTATGCCAAAATTGTAGAATGTAGCTCTTCACTAGGATGATTAATAATAAAATTTCATTTATTAAGTTATAAATTTTTGGGAAAAAACATTACATTGCAAAAGCCTAGAAATATCTCAGTATTTTGATTTTTTTTAAAATATTTTTTCAATCGTAAATATTCCAGTTATGAAGATTAATACAAAGTATTTTAATCATTGACACTTTTGTTATGGGTGTCATTCCAGAAGGGCAAAAGTTTTGCAATGCACTGGTTTTAAAAATCCATTTTTGAACAGGTTAATTGATGAAGGTGAAAGAAAACATTAACTAATGTTAAAGACTGACAGGTGAATAACATTTTATTAGCCTGTTTCAGCAATAAAAACTAAAGATTAAATATAAAAGAGGGGCATATTGTGCAAATCACAACGGATAAATAAATTTTGTGATTCATATTTAATGTATTCTAAAAATTTCATTTCTCTGTGAAACTTTTTTTATTTTTACCATTTTGTGTATTTTAAGCTATTGTTTATATTATTTTAATATATTTGAAATTTATCTATGTTACAGAACCTTAGACATTTACTGAACATAGCAAATAGCAACAGGTCTCTACATGCTGAACAAGAAAAAACTAATGTTTGTGATGCTAAGACTTCTTTCCAATGATTGTTTTCGTACACCCTCTCTTAACTGACTTCAAGTTCTTGTGGATAACTGCTCGTTTGTAATTTTTCAACCATGTCTTGAGAATCCTTAATTATGAGAGATGGAATACGAGCTTTCAATTTTTCATGATAGTTGTCCTTCACTAGCCTTGAGAATGTTGATTCAATAGTTATACAGCCGTAAAAGATCGTGGATTTCAACTTTCGAGGTGTTGAGAATAAGCCCTTTTTTTGTTGCCATTTAAGTTTTAACTTTTTAACATTATGAAGAAAATCAATGTGCACAATTTTTGTTAAAGTTTTTCATCAACTTTAGGCAGGTCAGATCTGACTTGTGTCAGCTTTTCTAGTTAGCTGTTTTTCTTTTTCAGTTTCCAAAGGGCGAATTACTTCTTCTTCGACTATCTCACAATCTCTCTCCATTACAAAGATTTCTTTATTTGTTTAAATTTATTGTTTTCAGTCATACTGGAATAGACAAGGATAGGTTGTTCTTTCATCATTTTTTGTTTTATAAAAGCCACCAATTCAAAAAGTGATGTTTTATTTGTTTACGATAAGTTTATCATTTATTTGTTTAAATTTATTGTTTTCAGTCATACTGGAATAGCTAAGGATAGGTTGTTCTTTCAACATTTTTTGTTTTATAAAAGTCCCCAATTCAGAAAGTGATGTTTTATTTGTTTGCGATAAGTTTATAATTTATTTCTCATTTTAATATCTTCTTATTAAATATGGTTGTTTCTAAAGTTACAGTTTAAATCTAAAAAGGGAAAAACAAAAATGAATGCTTTTTCAACCAAACTAGAAAAGTAATATAATGAAACAAATTATATTACAGTTGCTTTCATATTTAAGCTATAACTAAACCAGTGTCTTTCTTACTTTTGATTTTTTTATACTTTTTTTTATTTTATAAAGTTATTTATTGTTGTTAAAGTGTTGTAGATTGTTCATTCTCGTACTAGTAGATTATTAACTGAAAGTTAATAAAAATATTTGGATGGATGTATTTCCAGCTTTTCTAAATTAATCCAGGCACTGATTTAATGACTAAACAATAATATTTTTGAAGACCCATGAATATAAACTGTTCATTTTTTGACAAAACAGTAAGCCATGGGTATTTTCCATTTTTTAAAAATTAATTTATTTTTTTACAATGAATTTAAGCTCATTAATTATATATATTGTGTGTATAATAATTAGTTTAAAATATGTAATCGTAAGTTAATTTTAATTTTAGTTGGTGATAGGAAAATAATTAATAATCCATACAAATTTTTAGCATGTATAGTATGGAACTAACATGTTTACATACGCTACATTGTCTTGTGGTTTGCAGTCTAGCACAGTTTCCAGAATTATAAAAAAAGGTTTTGAAAAATATATTTTGAGTTTTATATCTCAAAATGTGTCATTTTGGTTAGTGTAATTAATTTAAGTAATTTAAGCATTATAAGTGCGTGACCACAAAACAAATAAGTATGTTCATGAATTTTTTATTAACATTTCACAGTGTGAAAAAATGTATTGGCCACCAGGAGATAAAATCGTTTAATAACTAATTTATTAAAACTGGATGAAGTATTCTTAGTTTAGTAGAAGAAAAATTATAATTTATGTAAATGTTTTAGTAGGACATTTTGTTTAGAAACAAATTTAAACATGATTAACCATGCAAATTACTAAAATATACCAATTTTAACAAATCACAATTGTAACATGCATTATTATTGTTATTATTATTTCAAATTATTGAAAGGATGTTGAAATTTTTTAGGGGTTAACAATTTGTATCAGTGGTCAGATTGGTATTATGTTTGAGGCTGATGTGATACACTGAAAGATTAAGATGTGCGTTACAGATTCAAAATAAACAAAGTAATTTGCTTGTTCCCAGGAAAAATTTGAAATTCGCAATAATTTAATGTATTTTAAATTTTATTTTAAAAAAATTTGGTTTAATTTCTTGCAGTTTAAAAAAAATCTTATTCTTTAATTACTAACAAATATTGAGAAAAAAGTATACTTAAAAAAATAGTTTATATAGGTGGATGCTTCTGACTTTCATATGCATAGATAGTAAATTGGTTATAATTGAAAAATTTATATTCAGGTTATAATTAAAATATCTACAATAACCCATACAAATAGTTCATCTAATAAAAATTGTAGGTTCATACAGTATTTAAAATGTTACATATCTGTATTGTACAGTATTGTGAAAGTATGTTGTGATGTAGAATACGACGATTTCTTCATAAACGGTTTGAGAAATAGTAATAACAGATAGAACATCTCATTAGGCATTATTATACAAAGTAAAACTATTGGTTATGATTTAATTTACACCTAATATATTGTAATGTCATAATAATAACAATAATAATAAATTGTATTATTTGTTAAGAATGACACAACATATGTATCACATGAAATATGTTATTTATAATATACAAACCAAATTGTTACTTCATCTTTTAAATTAAAATGATTATACCTCGATGGAATCTCAGTTTTTACTGCTGGGTCAGTTCAGTAGTAAAATGAATTTTTCTTTAATTGCACGAACGTTTATTTTAGTGTAAAATTTTGTCCATTCATCATAAGAAGATGTTAACAAGAACAAAAGGATAAGGAATCATAAAAAAAAGTTTATATTGTTAAGTTATATGTAGATTTTGTTACAAAAAATAAATATTCGTATTTTCTACTTTAAGTGTTTTAATATACATTTTCTATCCCAAACACCATGATTGTTACGTGTTAATTTGAATTTAAATTTGGCTTGAAATGCCGTTATACAGGGGATATTAATGTCATGATTTTACAAAAGTTTAGAACATTATGCCATAGAAATATAAATATAGATTGATTAGTGTTAGGTGCCATTCCATGGCTCCATATATAGAGCGTGTAGAAATGCCACCTAATATAAGAATTGTTCTTGAGTTTTTAAAAGTTGACATTCAGTTAATATATGTTCTACAGTCCAAGCCACTGGCATATGTTGCATTGTGGAGGTGTTTCTCTGTCCATGAGGTGGCTATGTGTGTATCTGGTGTGTCCGATCCATAGCCTGGCCAGAGTTACTTCTCCACATCAGCTTTGTAGGAAGGATGAAGTCCAACACCTGAAAGAATCTTTGATGTTTAGTAGTTTATTCTCTATGATGTTGTGTCTTGTTTGTTCCCAATCAACTCATATTTTATGTGATTCTAAATCTCCACGTGGGTACCCAGTCACTGGAATTACTTGTGCTGTTGCTCCTTTTGCTTGAATGTCAACTTGAGCTTTCACTATCACAGTGGCCGGGCACCCATACAAGGAATGTTTGATGTTTCAATTTTTGGATTTGTATGAGGATGTCCTGTGCTAGTGGGTTTTCAAGTCAGATTTGTGACTTGTTTCTGACCATCAAAAACAGTCCGAGGGCCAATACTGACAATGGACTGGCAGTCAACCACTCGCTGTAGCACTGTTGTAACATAAAAACAATTAAAAAATATCACTAATCATTAAACTGTGCCAGTTTACATTGAAACGTCCAGATTAACTATATTTAACAGTTAGTAAACAAGGATATGTATTGATTTATTAATTTTTTATGAATAATTTTCACCTATGGTTCGCGCTAAAACATCGGATGGTTATCGATACTCGATAGTTCATAAGCATGGAGTAGTGAGTACTACCCATCCCTACTACTCAGTACTCAGTAGCCACCAGCCACTAGCCAGTAGCCAGTAGTCTGATAACCTCCGACCTCGTGGCTCGTCGTTTTCAACAGTACTTGTAGTTTTGAACCGGTTTTTCCTTGGTATGAGAAAATGTCCCACACGGAATCAGAAGTAGTGAACGTGAAAGCTCTGATGCTTCTTCAAAGCGGGAAGACGGAAGCTGTGCACACCCTCCGTTCAATGCTCATCGACGCGATAATCAACAAATTCGGTTCGAAGAGACAGATGAAGCCGATCCCTCCGATCTGGCAGCCGGCTTCTTCCGACCCGACGAAACGCACCGAAGAGGCCCCGTCGAAAAAAGCCGAGGCGAAATCGTCAAAAAGCCCCAACCGTTCACCCGAGAACGAGAACAACGACTCGGACTCTTGGAACAGCGTCAACCTTTTCGAGATACTCGAAGAAAACAGATTCACGAGCTGCACCGTCTGCAGGGATCTCCTTCACACGTCGGAAAGTCTCGTGGAATGCTCGGAGTGCCACTCACTTTATCACAAAGAGTGCCATACACCGCCGATCACTGAAGATCTGAGCGACCCACGTGTCGTCTGGTACTGTCGCGACTGCATAAAGCCACTCTGCAAGCCGAAAACTTCGGACTCTTCCAACTCGAAGCCTTCAAAGTCAAACTCGACCGGGCTCAAGTCGTCCTCGTCTTCATCCGGGTCGAAGACGTTCGGCGGGACCAGGCTCGGGCAGAGCAAGAGCTCGAGCCAGTCCAAGTCTCACCTGCCCAGCATCAACATCATATCCGCGGATAAAAGACTCCAGATCATGAAGAAGAAAGCGGCGAGGAAACAGGACAAAAGGACTGTCAATAAATAAACACGAATTTATGAAGATTCAATTTGTGTCTAAGCCCATTTTAAGGTAAATCCTTTTTTAAAATGTTTCTGGGAGAATTTGTAAAGTTTTAACTTTTTACCGTTAATATTAATGAAAGCGGTGAGAAAAAATGGAAAAAGGACTGTTAATAAACGAACACAAGTTTATGAAGATGAAATTCTGTTTAAGGCTATTTTAATGTAAATATTTTTTTAAAATCTTTCTGTGAGAATTATTATCGTTTTCTGTCCGATTTCCCCTTTGTAAAACTAATAAACAAATCCTCTACTATTTTACTAGTAGTTTTGGCCATTATTTTCAAGTAATTTTACTGTTAATATTAAAGCGACGAGGAAACATGGCAAAAGGACTGTCAATAAATGAATACAAATTTATGAAGATTCAATTTCTGTTTAAGGCCGTTTTAAGGTAAATACTCTTTAAAATTGTTTCTGCGAGGATTTGTACAATTTCGATTTCCTCTTAGTAAAACTATTAAACGAGTCTTCTACTATTCTATTAGTAGATTTTGCCACTATTTTCAAGTATTTTACTGTTAATATTAATGAAAGTGGTGAGAAAATGGGATAAAGAGAGGGAGAATAAAATTTTATTACAATAAAAATTATATAAAGTGAGGTTGGTTACGTATTATTTTTCTAATAATCACTTCATGTTGTGCCTTGTAGAAAGTAAATAATTATTTAACAAAATGGCAATATAACATCTAGAGTTTACATACTTATAATATATTGTACTTTATAGAAACATTCTCTTATTTATGTGTATTGTTCTTATAAAAACTATTAGCTAAAGAAAAACAATTTCACAGACAAACTTGAGACAAATAACAAAAATCTAACAACATAAATTAATGTTGAATTAGAAATTTTAATTAATGTTATTATTTTGTCCAAGTTTTATTTATTTATTTTATAAATTACAATTTTATATTAACAAATATAAATTTTCTATCTCCTTTCATCAAATATCTTCTGCAAGAGGAATACTTTCTTTGCTTTTCTCTAAGAATACTCGATAAGAGAGTAGTTGACGTAATCGCTTTGCTACTTATTCTTGAGTAGGGGAAGGTGAGGTTCTAGAATTCAATAAATCAGACAATAAATTCTTCAACTTTTAACACACTTTTGTTTTTTTATGTACACAACCACAACAAAATCTTAATTAATGTAACAAGTCAGCCACAACTCTAAATCTGGGATAAGTCTGTTAACAAAGGGACTCCAAACGATGCTCACCATGATTAGCATTCTCAGCACCTCTGGTTCTGGTATCTTGACAGTCGACTTTATCGTATGGGTCACAACAGCTGGTCCTTGCTGGCTTTGGCTAGCTGAGTCACCTTTGTGAGTTTCAGACGGAGTGTGGTGCTCCTCTTCCGGATCGACTCCTGGAGTCGAATGTTCACTGCCTGAGGTGAGTCCTGGTCTTGACTGACTGGTTTGAGCCCTTGGCCTAGACTGACTTTTGATTTGCAAATCATCCCTTTTTATACCTGTTCCTCTACCTGAGTAGGGGTGGAAATTCCTTTTCAATCAAGGTTAGGGGAATTCCACACTGCTGGTGGACCGACAAAGACTGATGTCACGACGACGCCCCACGTTGCTACATATTTTTGGTCTTGTGAAAACCCTTCAGCACTAAATAACTCGACGTTAGTTATTTGTTTGATCAATTGTCCAACTGTTGCAACTTTATGTTTTCCAGGTTCATGGGAAAAATCCTATGACTCCCATCAAGGTCTGCGACACCCTTCAAAGTTCTTATTTATTTGACCTTATTGATTTGTGTAATTATTGCAGGGCTAGGTTTCCCTGGCTTGTGAGGAATGTATGTCGCTCCTGTCTGTGCTATGACGCCCTTTGACTAACTGCTTAATTATTGGAGAGTTTATTTCCCAGATTGTAGTGGGACGTCACATTATTCCGAGTGATTGCTGCATTTTCATTTAAAAGTGATTAGATTTACATTAATGGGTTATGTTGGAATGATATACTTTTGTCCTCCCCATCCAGAATTAAGCCCCCTTTGTTGAAGAAGTTAAATCCTAGTAGCATGAGTTAGGCATATTTTCCATGATGTTTATTTCTATGGGCCACGCCATGTTAGCTATTTTTATGTCTATGTTGGCTGTTGCAATTAGGTCTACTGCATCCATTTACTGACAATATTATATTTTAAATTTTTAAACAGTTTTTTTTTTTATATAAAAGGTTTTGTGTTTCTTGGGACATGCAGTTTATGGTGGATACTGAATTTTATAGTGCTGGAATGTGGTGTTTTTGTATTTTGCCTTGTTTTTTATTTTATTTTATGGCGACATCACCACATCTATTAGTTTTTTGGTGTTTTATTGTTGGCCGACAATTCTGTGAATAATTTTTTAAATTCTAAAATTTGTTTAATATTTTTTCCTATTGTTGGAAATGTGTTGTCCTCTTTTTAAATGTTTTATTTTTTTGATAGTTTTCATTTTGTGTATTGTTATAGTTTCTGTTGGGATTGCTTGTATTTCTGTTGTTATCATGGTAAAAAAACTCTTGAGATATTGTTTGTTTGGTGTCTATTGAAATTTCTGTAGCCATCATTTGCATTGTATCTGTTAGGGTGGTTATAATTTGGGTTATGGTTAAAATTTGGATTTCTAAAAAAGTTATTTTTGTAGTAATGGAATCTGCCCTGAAAGTTTGTGTTGTAATGTCTTCTATTGTAATTGTGCCTTCTATTATTAGTATCATTTTTATGTTGTTTGTTGTAGTTGTAACTTGTTCTGTTATAAGGACACTGTTATTAACTTTTAGTTTGGTTTCATACGGTACAAGCTTGTTGCGAAAGAGATTTACCCAGACACAGTTTAAACCTGTTTTTGCAGCCGAAATTCTTGCTTCAAAATGGTGAGATAGGGAAAGACGCGGAGTAAAAATAACACCCAGGTATTTGTACCTATTCACCACTTGGATTTTGTTACCTTTATAAAACCATTTTTCTGAGACTGCTGGTTTACCCGCATTGCAGAAGATCATAATTTTTGACTTTTTTAAATTTACAGATAAGTTCCAAAGGTCACAAAAGCACTCAAAAATTTGCATATTATTTTGCAAACTAGCCGGACTCTCAGCAATTAGGACTATATCATCTGCATATAATAATATTTTTATTTTGGTATTACCAACAAGAATTCCTCCTTCTAGTAGATTAGCAATATCGTCCACAAAAAGGGCAAATTACATGGGGCTAAGCAAACACCCTTGTCTTACTCCATTCTCTATTCTGAAGTATTTAGAAATTACTTCCGAGGTCCGAACCGCTGAAGCTCCCGAGGCATAAAAGCATTTAACTATACCCACAAACTTAGACAAAATACCCATGTTTAAGAGCTTTAGGAATAATGATGAATGATTGATTGAGTCAAAAGCTGCCTTTAAGTCTATGAAAAAGCAATACACTTTCCTTTGCTTTTCTGAGAGCTTCAGTTGCATTAGGTTAGACAGAAGAAAGATGTTATCGATTGCAGAATAATATTTTCTGAACCCAGCCTGAAATTTGCTAAGCAGATCATTCTTTTTGACATACTTTTCTAAACGCCGGTTTAACATGGAAAAAATAGTAGTAATGTAGTATCATTTTTATGTTGTTTGTTGTAGTTGTAACTTGTTCTGTTAGTAGTAGGTCCATTGTTCACAGATGGGTAATTAAAATTTGGGAAGCTGTTGTTAGCCAATGATATGCCTCTGTCATTCATTGTAATTTAAACTTTTTTAATCTTGTCAAAATTATGTTGATAACATTTTATGTTATCAGTGTACCCATTAAAGTTAAATATTTTGGATGAATTGCCTTAATTAAATCCGTAACATTTGTACATTCATTTGTTTCTCCTAATAATTTCAATAATTTTAGTTTATAATCTCTGTATTGTCCGAGTGGAGTGTTCTCATCCTGAGGAGCAAACAACAACTGTGCCTTTGTTTGGAAATACTGTTTCTTGGACGTGCCATGTGCAATCTATCTCTAATGTAAGAAATTGGCAGTCATTTCATCGCTTTTTCTGTGCACTAAAATAGCTGAAAAAATTTAAATTTGTTTCTATTTCTTAGTGCAATTGGTTTTAGTTCTGTTAGAAAGTTTATTATTGCTGCAGGCTGGTATAGCTGGAAGTTTGGTAATAATTTTATTTTTTCTACTAGCATAGGAGAAATACTATTTTTAGAAAACGATTTGTGTATTGTTTGAGGTATTTCGATGAAGTGAGATGAGCTTTCCGAAGAGCTCTCGTCCTCGGAATTATGTAGAATGCTAAAATCCGGATATATGTGTTTGTTTGGCTGATTTTGGAGGAATGAGGATTGATGAAAGAATGAAGGAGTTGGTGTTTTTTGGGTGTTTCGTCTGGGTCTTGTGGAAGGTGTGTTTTTGGTTCCATCTCCTTGGTGCTTTTTTTGTTATGAGGTGAAATGTTGGGGGTTTTATATGTTGTTGGTGTCAATGCTTGCTTAGGTAGAGGACGTTCCCGGGGTCATAGCATTAGATCCCGGTTCGCCTTCAAGTGACTCAATTCTGGCTTTAGTTGAGTATTATTCTCCTTCAGGATAGCATTTTTGTCCTCAAGCTCGAAAACGAGTTTTCGGAGCAGTTCAACTTCAGTAAGAAGGGACTCGTTAGGTACCTCTGACCGCCGAGAGCCAGTGTTGAGAAAAGAGTCTGGCACTCGTCAAGGTGCAGAATAATGGGATCTACACTCGTTGCAGAATACATGATTGTGGAGAACACAGTCAAGGGGGGGGCATGGGATTATAATGGTCCTGGGTATAGACAATGTTTCAGCAGAGATGGTAATAAAAAGAGAACATATACTCAACTATAGTTTTTCGAAAAGGGAAGGTGGAGAGGAAGATACAAAAAGGGAGAAATTCCACTCCTCCACCCCATCCATTCAAAAAGAGCAAGCCTCTGTAGTGATAACACCACCTATGGAGACCATTTCCGTAGAGGTAATGTTGAGATGGAGATTGAGCAGGTCATTCCGGAGACCCAGACACTTCCTCTTCATCCAGAAGCAATGATGCTCAGTGAGGAAGAGCTATTGGGTGAGGAGACACTTCTTCCTCCCCCAAAAGAATAATACATGGAGAAAATGAGAATGCTCCAGGTGAACATCCATCATGCAAAAGCTGCCTCAGCAGTAATAGCTAGGATGTTCACAGCACAACACCTATAGGCAATTCTCAGCCTGGAACCATGGGAAAGGACAAATCAGAGGTTTTCCATTACAGAGGTACATGTCCATTACTTAGGAAAAACACTAATTATATCTGTCTTGCAGAATTCGTATCCAGACCTCATCAAAATAGAGGTAATGGATGGGATAAAACTAGTGGCAGTGATAACATTAACTACTTCTCAGGAGAAGAGGACACCCTCCCCCAGAAGAACTGCAGAGATTGGATGACTACTGCCGCAAGAAGAATCTCCCCTTACTCACAGGATGTTATGTTAACACACACCAAGTCTGGAGAATCAATAACAACTACAAATGAGGTGAGTTGCTCTTAGAATTTTCGGTGAAGGAAAAATTATTACTTCTTAACATAGGTGGGGGACCGCGGTAGCCGAGTGGTTAGCATGAGAGACTCTCACGCCGCGGTCGTGGGTTCGATTCCCACCGTCGCCTCTGGCCCTTTTTTCCCGATAACCCCCAATTTGAACACACAAAGAATTCGTACTATGGCTAATATGCAAGATCATAAGGCCAATAAAGGGAAAAAAAAAAAAAAAACAGGGTCAACCCCAACCTTTGTCACCAAAGCGATAGAAGAAGTTTATTCGTTCTCTTAATAAATTTGAGAATTAAGTTATTGGATATTATCATTTGCAGCTATGCTCTACACAGTGTCGTAATGAATTGAAAGGTTTCTAATGAAGACTATGTCAGACTTTAGAATAAGGTTTGACATTGAATCAGATACGACAGACCATATACCATATAGGAACCCTCAAAACACTGACTGGGCACTTACTGAGATGGTGCATCATGACTTGCAACAGTAAAGAAAACAAAAAACCTGCAACGAGTTAGAACTTGCAGTTGCAGAACTCACAGGATCTATAATTGATGCCCTGTGAAGGAACTCAAAAGAAGACAAGGACCACTCTGGTAGAATAGAGAACTGGGCAGACTAAGAGTTGAAACCAGAAGTGCATTCAACATGGCAAAAACAAGCAACTGGAGAGAGTTGTATAAAACCTTATACAATCATACCATCCGCAGGACAAAAAGAGAAACCTTTCATAAATTTAGAAATCTCAGTATGGACAGACTGCACAAAGCTCTTGTCAAGGACAGAGAACATATAAACACTGCTCTGAAGAAAGTAGTAGCTACAAAGAAGATGCAGAACAAAATGTGATGCTTCTTCTAAATACACTTTTTCGAGGCAGTACTTATGTCCCACTTGGAAAATAAGAGAACACAAGCAGAGAAAAGAAAATGGGAAGACAGCAGCTGAAATATACACAATGAAAAAGTTCCTCTGGTCAATCAATTCTTTCTGCCCATATGAGCACCAGGAATGGATGAGATTCTACAAAAAGGAGCAGGAATTCCAAGTGTGTATATATAGAAGCTACTTTCTTTTTTTCTTATAGTTTTTCACATTTCGGAGTTTTTTCGGCTCTGGGTGTATCAGATTCTTGAATGTGATTGCGATCTGGAACAGTACTTGTCTCCTGCACGTATCTCGTTCAGTTTGATATGCATTTGTCCAATTTGTTCGATGAGTTGTTGTAGTTCCGGGTTTAAAGGCTTAGCCGGGCAGCGTTGGACCTCCACAGCAGCAATTGACGGGCCTACCCCGGCTTCGAGGTTCTTGTCAGCAACGTTTGCCTATTTTTCTACTTCGTCCTGCTCAATGGCTGCAAGAATGCCTCTGGTACGAGAAGGCATTGCTCGTAGCCAAATACCAAATAGTACGAATAACTTGTGGCGATGCTGAGTTATCTGCTAATGTCTTTGTTGGAGGGGGGGTGCTTGTCTTTCTCGCACAGCCACCCCACCGTTCATCGTCGCTGGAGAAAAGGGGGGAAAAGAAAACGGTAAAGAATATAGAAACGACGTAAATTTAAAGATTAGGAAAAACTATGAATTTATTGAAGAAATGATCTTGACAAGAAACAAGCAACAAAGAGGAAAGGGAAATTGAATGGAGAAATTCTTCCTGTACAATACAAAAAAATATTTTTAAAAAAATTGTGTTCTTTAACTTGCAAACAATGATATGTACCTGCAGGTTAAAGTTTACTTAAAATGGTGATTCCTTTTATGAAATAAATCAAATTATAATATATGTCCTAGAAAATAGATCCGAGTTAAATATGAATCCACCTGGGTACGACGAAATTTCCACGAGGTAGGCGAAATGTCCTTTTTTTGGCCGGATTTTCACGACTCAGACTGGAACGACACTGCGATATCCTGACGAAACGGTTGTGAATTCCTCAACCACCGTCTTCTACGATAACTGGAGGGTGCTCGATGAACGAAGGCTGATGACCAAACTCAGTCTCCAGAAGAGTCTGCCAGCCGTTTTTGGTAGAAAAAATCCACCACCACGATCTCGTTGATGTTGATGATGAGAACGACAGTTGGTGGATCGCTTTGTGTGAGGGATGAAAATCCCCAATCGACAAATTATACAAAACATCAATGACAAAAATGAAATAAACGTTCTTAACTGTTTCTTTTCTCTCTAGATGTTTTTCTTGTTTTCTTCTTTCTTCGAGGTGTTTTTCTTTTTTTTCTTTGATTTTATTCACACCTCATGAGAGCCTACGAACCATCCAAAAACCAAAAACAAAACCTTCCCTCCTCCCTTCTCTTCACCTTCTTTTCCCGCGCTCTTGAAAAGGGTGTTTGTCTTTTGGTCTTAATGTATCAAGCTCTTGTTTGTTATAATTTATTACTACCATCTTAAATGGAGACAATTGTGATGATTTTTATTCATATACCATTGCAGCTTCAAAATACAGGCAGTTTTGGGTAGATGAATTTAAGCCTGGTTCAGAAAGGAATCCTCGGCTTCACTGGCAGGGCATTGATTCACTGCACTTAGTACTGTCAACATCACTTTTCTGGAGTTCTGTTGGTGTTGAGACGGAGTTAACTTCTGACATAACAAACTTTTCAACTATTTTCTTGATACCAACCTAAGGATGATGGAGTGGAGACAGGGGTAGAAGTAGAACCATACAGGCAGTTTTGATATCCATGTGGGCAATATTCATGTTTTCCATGGTTGCTAGAGCGAACAGGAATTTCAGTAAGGAATATTTTACTACAGGAGAAAATGTCTCTTTGTAGTCAATCCCCTGTCATTGACTACATCCTTTCACCACGAGTTTGGCCTTGTACTTTGCTTCTTCTGTAGAAGATTTTGTAGCTTGAACACTCACTTGGTCTTCAACGCAGTTTCGCCCTTTGGCAAATTAGCCCATTCTCGACAAACGAATTTAGCTCCTCTGGCATTGCTGCCTTCCATTTAGATGCTTGTGAGCTCTACCTTGCTTCCTTTACCTTTGAAGGGTCTTCATTTTCTGAAAGCAAATAAAATCTGGATCCGCTTTAGTTTTTGGGGTTCTTTCTGAATGTCTCTGTGAAGATCCCCAGAGGGAATCTTAAATGGGGTTGTAAAAATTTAAGTTTGTTATAAATATTAAAATTAGACGTAGAAATAGGTTAGCTAATTGTTGGGAAAGCGTATTGTGCCAGGTTGAGTAACGGGAGCCGACCCGGTCTTTCTCAAGAACTCCAGACACAGCTAAAAAAAAAAAACAAAAAAAAAAACTGGCAAAATAATAACAGCTGGATGTTTTCGATTGAGAAATGTGGGTCGATCCCGGGGCAATCGCCCTAGAAAAATTGGCTGTTGTGCTGACGAGTGGCCTTATTGCTCAACCCTCAGGATTAGCTAATGCCCGGACTCATCCGAAATAGCTTAATGACCTGGAGAGGACAAAGGGCAGTCGGGTCACCCGGAAGCATAGCAGTATTTTCGAAATGCAACTGTTACCCACCTCCTCCCTGAACGGATTGATACAAAAAGGACAATCGGAGTGAAATCAAAAAGAGAACCCGGGTAGAGTCCAAAGAGAGCCCAAGTAGAGTCGGTAGTACGGGAGTACGCAGTTGAGTCAGTCGGAGTGTCCCATGGAGACGACCAGTGAGTCTGTCAAACAGAGTCAAAAGGGTGAACTGGTGTGGCAGATTAGCCAGCGTAGTTCGCAGGATCCATACCACCGAACCGACGAAATCGATGCACGTATTCCAGTCCTGTGAGTACAAGTTTTGTCAATTGGTTTGTGGGAGATTTGGAGAACAGTTGTGCGATTTCGGGCTACTTTTCGCACTACGATCCCAATAATTAAGCTCCTAGTATTAAGGTTTCGTTAAAGAGAGTAAGAGCATTAGTTATATCTAGAATTAGTCTTCCAGTAATAGGTTTTGTATATGAATTGTTTAATAGGAAATAAGGGTTGCTATTTATAAGCAGAGTTAGGGCGTTTTTCACTAGTTGATTATACATATTGGGAATTGTTCAGTCATATCAAATAAAGGGACCTGTCTGTTCTGTCCGAATTGGTGTATCTTTCCCCCAAACCTCCTTGTCCAGAGTTAGTAGTAAGTAAGAAAAGGGTGTTCACCCGTCAAGCCCGGGCAACCTGACAAATCTTACCCCTAAAAGGCTTGACGGGCCTAGAGTGGAGTAGCTCACTACCCTCTCGGAGCACCCTAGCCAGCGACGGTATTCGAACGAGTCACGAGCCATGCGCACGAAAAAAAGGAAACCGCTTATCACAAATTGGTGTCAGGTGTGGGGTAACCGGCTTAGAATGGGGACGTGGGGAAAGGTGGGACCCAGAGTGGTTGGTAGGGGAACACCAGCCAACGAGGCCTACACGGCCTCGTCGCCAAAACCATCAAGACTAAGAACATTCTGCCTTTTACAGGGGCGTTCTGCGCAATCCGCCTTCTTCTGTTGACGGATCATGGGGAGGGGGCATGGATGAAGGAGGCTGAGTCAAACAGTTACGGACCTGTTCCAGTTATTCAATCTTTCCCTATTTATATCTCACGGGCTTAGGAGCTTGGAATCCTCGGCACTTCAAACCTTAGTAGAGTTAGGAGAAATAGGGGTTGGGTTAGAGCGAGCCGCACGGGAGGAGGTAAGCTGTTCTCTAATTTCTCTGCGCGAACTAGCTGGCTAATCAGGAGGGTCCGGGAGGCTTTGCCTTTGGGGCTTTCCTTGCTTGCAGGACATGAACCAGGCGACGTGTTCTCTCACTATTCACTGGCGGGGGTGACTGGAGTGGAGGCGGCCAGAAGGATGCATTTAATCGTGGAAATACTGTTACGAGCCACCCACCCCTGGTTATGGCGGTACGGTGTAGACAGTGTACCTTGGATCGATGAGGTCACTCGAAGGCGGACTCGGGTAGAATTGACATCGACGGACTATCTGCTGGTCAGTGAATCCCGAGATTACTACGCTGTAGTGAGCGAAAAGGAGCTATGGAGGTGTCGGGGTCGCCGCCCATCGTCTGCGCCGCAATCTCTGGTGTCCCGCAGGACCCCTTCCTGTGTGAGTGTTGCCTTCTTCGGGGACACCGAGGTAATGCGACAGCGGTGCCAGGGGATCGTCCACGGGGATGACTCCCCACTGTGGCTGTGGAATGAAGAGAGGGACACCTGGACCTACAGCCTGGCGCAACCTGACAAGGTGCTACTCAAGTGCCTAGACGGGAGATCCGAGGAGCAGAACCTTCAGGGCGCAGGAGTATTGGAGCTCCCAGAGGGTTGTTCAGCTGAGACCTCTGACCGGCTACTACCACTGAGGTATCGAGGAAAATGTTTATACTGTTTTTCACAATAGGAATAACTTTACCCAATGTAACATACTTTTCACTACTTAATTTGACTGTCATCATTTCTAAAGGTTCAAGGACACTGATAAACTCTTGTAATATTTCTACTTCTGCAGCTAGTAACATCCTACTAATGTCAGTGCCAAATGTCTGATAGCTGGTAATAATTCAAAAAATATATGTAGTATGTAGAATTCCATCTTGTTTTTACATCTAAGATAAGTTTCAATATTTTCCCTTCAGGAACATAAACATTAATACAAAAACTTTTTAGTTCATCAGTTGCCTTTGTGCCTTTTCGTACTCAGGCTATGTCATGAACCTTGGTGATGATACCCTTAGCACTTTCTACCTTCAGTGCGCTCTCACGTACGAGGTTAAGTGAATGTGGAAAACATTTATTACGACGATTGACAGAAAAAAATTCAACAAGGCCTTTACCTTGCACCACTGATGGTGAATTTTCCATGTAGCCAAAACAAAAAGGAATTCTCGGGCAAAATACCCAGAAGTGTCTCTCACATTTAATAATATCTTTATTTACGACAAGCCAATTTAAGTATATCATACAATTTACATATTTTTCACAGAATACAATGAATTATGAAATAGATCCAACTGAACATTGGATGCATGCATTTATTCTATGCATCGGAGAGTGACCATGTAGTTTGTTTTGCTAATAGTAACATAAAAACAAAACTTTGTATATCTTGTTCTTTTATCAGGTATATTAAATTTAATTCTTTCTAAAAGTTCCGGACAACAATCTGAAACTGTTATTATCATTGATGGTGATGGTCATAAAAAGGCGCAACTGAGGACTTTAATGTATTATAATTTGTGATGATAAGCACATAAGCAGTTTCCGATGCGTTGCAAAAATCATGATACTCCATGGCACTTGTTGGAAAATTAATTATGTTTCTTTCAATTTTTATGATTTCTAATGTAGGTAAATTTTGCTGAAATTTGTACCACTTATTGGCCATATCTTCTGGTAATATATCATCCCAACTTATTTTTAGTTCCCGGAGTTTTTGGAGAATAATTTTTGCGCATACTACTACTGGCCTCAATAGTCCTAAAGGATCAAATAGCCTTGCAATTGGCTAGACCTTCGCTTGGTTTCTTGTCCGTGTGGTATTTGTTTAATAGCAAAGCTGAAGAGGTTCTAATTCTGGATTCCACAGTAATCCTATTTTCACATTCAAATCTCCTGTCTGATTCAATATTCGCCTTGGCTCCTGTTTTGTGGAGTCTACACCTTTAAGGACTTGTGAGCTATTTGAGTACCATTTGTGTAACTCTAATTGACCTTTCTTTAAAAGTTGAATAATTCGTTGTCTTAATATTAGAGCCTCTTCAACGTTATCACAACCAGTCAGTAAATCATCGACGTAAAAATTCCTTTGTATAATAACCGATGCCTTTGGATATTTGGTCTCTCCTTCTATGCCTAATTGGTGTAAACATCTAGTAGCTAATCAAGCAGCCGATGCAGTTCTGTACGTGACGGTATTTAATTGGTATACTTTTAATGGTTTGTATGGATCTTCCCGCCAAAATATTCTTTGGAGATCCCTTTGTGTTGGTGTATTATTAATTTGCTGATACATTTTGGTTATACATTACTATTTTGTGCTTCCTGAACCTTACAAGAATAGAAAAGAGTTCTTGCTGTATAGTTGGGCCAACTAGTAGTGCATCGTTTAGGATGCCAGAACTTGTTTTACAAGAGCCGTCGAATACGACTCTGAATTTTGTACTTGAACTTGTTTTGTTTATGACACCATGATGTGGCAACTCAGGGCCCCTTTCTTCCTCTTGAAGCGCTGTCATGTGTCCCAAACATTCGTATTCGCACATAAACGATTTGTATGCTTCACAAAATTTGGGGTCTCTTTGCAATCTTTTTTCTAATTGAAGAAATCGATGCCTTGCAATTTTTTCGGAATTGCCTGTCATTTGTGGGAAGTGTCACCTCGAAGCGTCCAGATTTGTCTCACTTTGTTGTGGACACAAAACTTTCCTCACAAATCCTTTCGTCAAATGATTCGACCGTTGAATTAACTTCTTCTTGTTCCCAAAATTTGATGAGGCTTTCATCGAGGCTGCAATGGCAGAATGTTGTTGCAAAGGATAATGAATTTTTTATACCTCCTGCAATGACCTATCCCAATTTTGTGTGTTGGACAGATTGGTAGATTTGGCCCTAACTTAATTTTTTTCATTTAATCTCAAAAAATTGGTCTGCTCCAATAAGCAAGTCAATTGGACCTGATTTGTGAAAATTTGAATCAGCCAATACAATGTTTGCAGGTAATTTCCGTGATGAAATGTCTATATTTTTTGTTGGAATAGAAACAAACTGTAATGTCGCCGACTTTTCTATGCTTTTCTAGAGTGCATATGTTCATTAACAAGTTAAGGTTATTGAATGAATTTTTAATGTAACCCCTGGTCTGGTTTGTTCAGAGGAAAAGCAAAATTTAAGAAAATAATGAACGGGCACCAGATAGTCTTTTAACTATCAAGGGGGGGGGGACAAATGTTAGCGGCTAGGAGATAGCTCCTCGTGAGACGGGAGGGTTCGCGATGAAACTATTTGAACAATCAAGAAAATAAAGAAAACAAATAAAGAACAAAAAGGGTGATGGTTCAATTACATATATTTACACATAAAGAAATAAAGTTAAGGTACTACGAAACTAAAACTATATACATAAAAATTTGGCCTTTCTTAAACAGTAAAATGTCTTAAGTGAGCACTCACTATTTGTCTTCTCCAAGACACAAACGAATGTATCCGATTATGAGAAATAAGACGATATATCCATTAGATGAAAATCTTAGATCATGTTCGTAGGGTGACTCGTGGAATCCTTCCAGTGCTGATCTGGCTTCCTCTTGCGCGCTACAGTTTCGACCAAAGTCCAAAGAGAGCAAGACAACACGACATCCACACCAACTCCAGGCCTCGACTTAATGACCCGGTTACACTATTATTATTATAGATTAACAAAAACAATAATTTATAATAAAGTTTAACAATACCTCACTAATAAAAAATCCATATGACTAAAGGTCCAACAATTTGATATAATAATGTGACCATACGGCTGAGTTATACTCCAGAATAGGCCATACTAAAGATAAGTAAAGCACGCTTATACAATGAAAATTCATAAATTCTATTGTATTTCTCTTTAAGAAGCCAAGCAATTTTAAACTTTTGTTTAGTCGTTTCAATATGTTAAACAAAAAAAGAGCCTAGAATTGAATTCACGGGGCGAATATAGTGTTTTGTGAACTTTGTGTATTTGATTTCGTGTTTTGAGGGAAATCGAAATATTCGTTGGGGAACTTTGCTGGGTGTCTACTAGGTGTTTGAAAGAAATTAGAATATTGATTGGGGAATCTTGCTGGGTGTCTACTCTGTGGTTAAAAGCGATGTTTCCTTGATGGATAATTGTCTGGCCCCTGAAAAGTTTTCAAGAACTGAAAATCATTCATGAGTTTAGACGTCTTAGTAAGACATGGAGTGTGACACCTCTCTCATAATCAATTAAAGTGTTGGCTTGAAGGGGATTGTGGTTTTTAAAATATGCTATTTGTTTACACTATATGAGTGAGCAGAAAATCAGTCTCATTGTCGATTTTTAAAAATTTAAAAGCTGCCAGATTGTCTGTCACATGGACGAGAATATCTTGTAGAGACTCTAAGGAGGGCTTGCCAGTTGAAGGCTTAAAATCTGAAACTGCATTTATATATTGACTGCCCAGCATACGAGGACTTTCGTAAGCTTGAGTGATAGCTTTCCACGAGAGTTCGTAATTGGTGTCCAAAATGGGAAATTTGTTTATTATTAAGCTTCCCCCGTAAGCGCAGAAAGAAGGAAACGGAATTTTTCAATTGAAGGTATCGTAGCATCATCGTGAACCAACGACACGAAAATATCGTGAAAAGCAGGCCATTTCTTAAAGTTTCCATCGAAAGTAGGAAGGTTGATCGTCGGTAATTGCGCACGCACGATTCTAGGTTTGTTCAGATTTGAAGTGTTAAAGGCTTCCACGAACAGAGGGAGTCAAACGGGAGTTGTTTGACACAGTCGCAAGTAAAGTGACATTGCCTCATAGAAGTATCTTTTCGCAGGAGATTGTGTCGTGACTTCGCTTGGCGAAGGATATTCCTGGAATTTATTAAGTCGCATATAATATTCTGTCAATTTGTCCCAGGTTTGATTGTATTTATCGAAATTTTCTTTTAATTGAGTATGCATTGCCATAAACAAGTGAATTTGAGAAGGGTCTGCAGAAGCTAAGCATCCTTGTTCGGCAATGGACTTTTTCCGACGAATCTCCCCCTTCGGCCATGTTGAGGAATTCCTTTGTTACAAAATACTAATGTGCGTATATAAATGCTTAAACAATATCTGATTGTAGGTATCTACAATATTTCAAAAACAGTGGGCGATACGTTACCATTTAAAAAAATAGTAGTATATGCTAAAAATAATATTAAAAAAAAAAATTAAATGCTACAAAACTACTACACATAAAACCCAAAATATAGTATCAAAATGTTAAATCCCTTACACAACAATCCAGCCCGGAGGACCAATGTTTTGTAGACGCCGGTGGGAGAAAGTATTGGATATCTACCCTCCAAGTCCCCGGGCGCTACCAGGGATAGTTGCCGGCTGTTGTGTAAAGGATTTAGTGGATAAAAATTTAATAATTCGTTTAATAGTTAATTTTATTAATTGACAATGTATGATATAAATACCGAATCTAAANAGAGATATAGAGAGAGAGAGAGAGAGAGAGAGAGAGAGAGAGAGAGAGAAGTTGATACACAAAATGACAATGTTGAAAAGACAAAGAATAAGAACGTTCGTACGTCTTGTTGTCGACTCACGACAGTGAAGATCAGAAGAAAAGTTCGTGCTTATCTTGATTGGGGTCTGGGAGCCACTCGCCGGACGAAAAGAAAGGTACGTTTGTGCGCGTACCATTTGTAAACCAGGGAGCGACTGACCGTTTTTAGGACGCCTTGCTGAAAAATGACGTTCTCCCTCCAATGTCTTGATTTTTACAAATTATCGGTTTTTTTTATAAATTTAAAAAAAATGTTTACATTGGCCTAAACTCCCTCGTAACAGCCAAAAGCACAGCACGCTGCGATCGCACAAGCGCTCCCCATCCCGAAGAATGGAGCTCATGAGTCCATGCCGGAGCAGTGTAAATCATCACTGACTCGCACAGTGCAGAATAATAAATAGACCGTGTTCTATATGATATGCCCCACCCAGCCCATAAATGACCAATTTTGCTCAAAACCTGATTTTTTAACTTTCTTGCACTTGATTACTTTAACTTTTTTGCATACAATAGCACGTATATTGTTAATTTTATAAGTAGAAAAAGGGAGAGAACAGTAAGTACCTTATATTTTAAGAAAATTGGTTTGCAATGGTCATTATATTTGGCGCTATCTATTATTCGACAGTTCTCCAAGGTATATATCTCATTGTCAGGCATCTTCTGTTAATTCTGATTAATAAGGGGATTTTAATTTAATCATTTAACAAAAATTATTTTTCTGATAGCTCAAATGAATCAGTGGATTTGGTGATTTAGCATCGTTAAATAGTTCAAACTTCATTGGTATTTGATCCTACATGAAAAATCACAACAATTTTGACAAATAATGACACAATAAAAAATGGCAAAATAGGACACAATGTAATATAAGACAAATTTGTAATAAAAGGAAAGGTATTATTATGGCCCATGATGCTTCTTAATTGGACTGACAAGTATAATTGATTGATCTAGTTTACATCTAGTGCAGACAAAATAATATTCGACCAATACTTTCTTTGGTCTCAAACCTCTTAGTTCCAATTCATTTTAATAAAGCCATTATCAAAGATCAAGGCCGGTTTATTAAGTTCATACTTGGGAGCCGGTTCACGACGAGCTGCAGTGTCATAGCGATGATCGCGGTGTACACGTTGACTTTTCTCGCGCTCCTCTGCATCACTGGTGCGAACAAAGTGAGGAAGAACGAGCACCTCCACGAGATTTGGAATGATTTGGTCATGCAGACGGCTAACATAGCGAGATGCCACAGCTGCGGTCATAGCCAAAACTACATAGAGAGAACTCTGAACGATCTCGAAGTGAAAAATTTAAGGATCGAAATCGTTAAACAGACCATACTGAAACAACTGGGGATGTCGAAGGTGCCTGAAGTCGACCTGTCTACTCAGAAAATCCCACATCCCATCAGAGAAGGATTCTTAATGCTACACGAACAGTCTAAGATTAAACCCACAACCCACTATAAAGACAGGATTATAGTCGTTTCCTCCGGTATAATCATACACCATACTCACAATTAGTACACTATAACTTTTTTTTTGCTTTCTTATAACTTGGCTGTATAGATTCGCTAATAAATTAATATATTTAAGCTTCATTTGCCTTTAATCAAACAAAATTAATTACAATTAACATCAGAAAAGACTCGTAGTTTTTTATTTTATTTTTTATTATTATTTTTTTATTACCATCAATTAGAAGATTTAAGTATTGAGGGGAGCATATATTCATGGTTAATCTCCCATTGCACTTCACTGCATTAGTTTATCAAAATTTCTCAGAAAGGAGGTCATATAGCCATTTCGGCAAAAAACGACTTATAGGATTTTAAGGATGGGGATCTGTTGGATAAGGCTAAGGCAAGACTATTAAACTGATGGGATAGAATACTGTGGAACTTAGTAAATTTTTGGATAAATGAGACGTGAATGTTCAAATATAGTTGAGAGATTTACAATTGATCTTTAGTTTGGAAGGATTGGATTGGATATTGTAATGTTTAGTGGTTTCCCGCATTTGTATGCTGTATGTCCAAATAGGATTTTTTTTTTTTTTTTGAATACCCCAATGTTCTTAACTATCTGAACCTTGGGGACTAATCCCTGAGACACCGACCTTTCCATCCCAACACATATTCAAATGTATTAAATAAAAATTACTATTTTTTACTAAGATCTGCAAGACAAACATTAGCTAAAATCAAGTTTTAAACTGTTGGAAGATGGAAAGGCAGATGCCGTTATGACGTCAGGATGAGAACACTCAGCAAGAAATCTGAAGCCAGAAATATCTGGAACGGAAACTGAGTTTAGCCATTCACACAATTTTCAATTTCTTCCTTGAATTTTTTCCTTTTTGTTGGGTGCCTTTGAATTTAATGTCATTACTTAAACGACAACTTAACATAAAATGAACTTTTTCATCAGGTGCCGTGTGGGGAGATGAGAAAAAATTACAGCACGGCTGTTTGCTTATTTTCTTCCGTGACATTCAGTAATTTTATGTGTTTTGCCATTAATTTATCTTGTAAAACATTTTTAGTCTCTTAGTTTGCCCTGCCTGTCCTTGAATGGACTGTCGAGACACTTGTCACCAACTTCAGTACTGGGTTGATTAAAGATGGTGAAATGCCCCAAGTGTGCAGAGAAGTATGATTGAAAATGGACATCATACCTCAACAAGAAAACACTTTTTTTTAATAATTTCATTCGAAAATGAGAGGTATAAAGTGATAATTACTTTTAATTATTTACAGATGTTAAGTGTTATTCACAGAATAACATACTTGAAATCGTCCTAAAATTTGACCTACCTAGCTACTTAAATGAGATCGATGGTGCCAGACTTTGGTTCCATTTAAGCAAGCACAAAGTGAACAATTGTAAATTACAGTTGGCACCTTGTGTAACTGGAAATGAAAAATTCTTACCAAGATATATAAAGGACTATGAAATGCGCGTAACCGGTAAGAATTAGTCATAATGGTAATATTAAATATAACAAATTTAAATTATTGAAATATTTATCCAGCAATCTGGCTGGTTGTATTCTGTTGCTGTATATAAATAATTTCAGATGGCTGGAGTGAAATAGATATCGGCTGGGCTTTGGTGCGCAAATTTGATACATCAGAGGAATGTTACACCAGTAAAATTACATGCGATGAAAATCATGTGTATGATTACAATGATGCTTGCGAACATTTTTCCAATAATGAAACTGCTACTAAGCCTTTTCTTCTCGTGGACGTTCGACGGGAAGACAGAGTAAGATATGAAAGACTTTACCAATATTTATTTATATGCTGTAATAATTTATTTTGTTTAGGTCAATAGAGTAAAACGAAATGTAAATTGTACGAAAGGAATAACAGAATGTTGCCGAGAAAATTTATACGTCTCGTTTGCCGATATTGGCTGGGGAAATTGGATTATCAAGCCGACCGGTTATAACGCGTACTATTGCAAAGGAAACTGTGCCAATGCCGCGTCAATTTCTTTGAGTCAGACACCGTACCATTCTGTAATACATGTATGTCGAAAACTTCAATATCTTTTATTTTCCAATGTTGTAATATTTTGCTTATACTCTTTTTAGAAATTATACAACCTTAAACACAGCCTAGGTATGAAGATAGACGTCGCCCCTTGTTGTACGCCGAGAGATTTTTCTCCGGTTCAGCTCATCTACATAGATCACAATAAATCTTATCAATCTAAAATCATCCCTAATCTCACAGTTGAAACTTGTGGATGTGTGTAACAAGATTGTATTACATAGAAATTCCCTCTTCAGATCCGAGGATTAGATTTATTATTATGTAGCTGTGTCTACAGACGTAATGTACAAACAAATGTATTGTAGTAATTTTTAATGTACTTTAGCTTGATTATTATTAGACAATAATAATTAAGGCTAACTTAAATGGGTGTATTTGTTGTTTTAGTACTATGTATGGCCATAGTATTTTTTCAATACAGGGTGTAAAAAATCAAAAATTCTTAAAACAAAAAATGTGAATAAATGATTGATAATTACACGTTTAAAAACCGAACAATGTGTTTTTATTTGGAGTATGAAATATTCTTACTCTAATGTCCATTTCCTCATTCATTGAAAATATTTTACATAGCACATGATTTATTTATTTTTTTAAATCAGAAAAAGAACGATGTTTGGCTGAGCCCCTTAATCTGTAAATATAAATAAGAACGTTGAGACCAAACAGTTAACTTTATTAATATTGTTGGTAATATCATAAAGAAAGTAAGCCTGAAAGAGGTATAAAATAGTAAAGATAACACTTTTTTTTAAAACACTTGAATTTTTTGAAGCGCAAAATTGTAAAATCTGCATCACTCTAAAGGGTGAGATTTAGATCTTCTAAATCCGAATTAATTAGTAGAACTGATATAGAATACTGTTTAAGCAAGATGTTCGCTTAATTTTTCTTTTCTTTATTGACATTGATTTAACTACTATTCACACAAAGCCATTATGAAAAATTGAACAAAAAAAAAATTCAACTACATTTTTAGTTGTATGCATGTTAATTCGCAATTTTTTGCAATGTTATATTTAATTAGGATCATATTCTAAATTTTCATTTTAAAAAAATTGCTACTCCTCCAAGTTCATGTCCTTCTATAGAGAAAGAAGACTATTTTAAAATTATTAGGTAAGATAATAAGTAAGGAACGAGAGTGAGTGATTGAGAGAGTTGACTAGTGAATAAAAAAATGATTGAATGAGTGAGTAGGTTGGTTAAAAAAATTTGTACTCTTCCATGTTCATGACCTCTAGAGAAAGAAGACCCTATTTTAAAATTATCAAGTAAGATAATAAATAAATAAGGATTGAATCAGAGAAAGTGAATGAATTAGTGCAAATAGGTGGGTTAAAAAAGTCTACTTCTCCAGCATGATCATGTCCTCTAGAGAAAGAAGACCCTATTTTAAAATTATCAAGTAAGATAATAAATAAATAAGGATTGAATCAGAGAAAGTGAATGAATTAGTGCAAATAGGTGGGTTAAAAAAGTCTACTTCTCCAGCATGATCATGTCCTCTAGAGAAAGAAGACCCTATTTTAAAATTATCAGGTAAGATAAGTAAGGAGTGAATGAGAGAGATATTAATTGAATGAGTGTGAGTAGGTGGGTTAAAAAATTTCTACTCTTCCATGTTCATATCCTTCTCTAGAGAAAGAAGACCATATTTTAAAGTTGACAGGTAAGATAATAAATAAGCAAGGAGTGAATCCGAGAGAGAAAGTGAATGAATGTAGAGTTGAGTAGGTGGGTTAGTTAGTGAATGAGAAAGTGAGCAGGTGGGTGAGTGAATGATAGAAAATGAGTGGGAGAGAAAGAGAGAACGAAACATAAGACGTGTTAATTTAATAACAAGGTTTTAAAATGAAAAGATTTATATTTGTTTCGTCACGGCGACAGGTACGATCTGAAGCGAGGACCAAGATTGTTGTCCAATGTCGCAACAGTTGTACAATTCTCCTTCACACCAAATGTAGAGTGTGTGAGTGAATGAGAAAGAGAAAGTGATACAAAAGACCAGCTTAGACTATGCGAATACTTCAATGAATCCCCCTTTTCTAGTGTTATGTGCCTGCTGTTTAAAAATAAAATGAGTGAAAAAGAAGTTATAATTCCAACTATTATTCAAGCCCTAAAGTCCTAGATTTAGTAGTCCTAGTTAGTTTCTGGGATGGATTTTTGATCAGCTTTTTGCCTCTTTCCTGGGCTACATTCCTATTGAACAAAGGATTTATTTTTTAATACATTGTCTGATGGATCCACATTGGCAGCTTGGTATGCTACAAAAGAGTTCAGGGTCCTGATAGGTGTCCTCATCGAAATCAACCTCTTCATTGCTTCTCTATCCTGTTTGCCCTCGTAAGTGTAAGATTAAGATAAGTGCAAATGCATTCAATTGCCTGAAATTCAACCTATACAATTCCTCCTCGAGCCTTTGAATTATGAGAATATTGGAAAAATTATACAATAAAAGCGATTATTTTTCTGTTGATAATGTTTAAGTATCAAAGACAGTTCATAAATAATTTAACAAAACAAAACACAAATTATATTTGAAGTACAAAACATTGAATGTTTATCACATGTTATGGTCACTCTTCAAAATACATATTTTTAAATATACAATTTACAATACTGCTCCTTATAACGTTAATATAACTATAATTCTTTACTTATCACAAATATGAAATTGAAAAATTAGTATTATAGTATTTTTATATTCAGTTTATTTACATTATAAATTTAGTAGTATTTACATTTGGGATATGTGGTCAGAAGTCATTGCGATTACTGATTAGGCCTAAATCTTAGACAAAAATAAATATATTTAGTTTTTTTAGAATATAACAATACTTTCTTTTCAAAGATGTTCTTTAAGTTATATTTAAATTAACATTACCTAAACTCGACGCAATATTTTTTTCTATTTAAAAAAACAAATAAAAAACAGTCCATTTATCAGAAATATTTACAACTTAAAACAATATATTTAGCACGCTGTTGTGTATTTCATCATCCAACATTAAAATATTTTTCTTATATAATTCCACAAACCTACTGCATTATACACTAGCTTTATAACACATGAATTTTTTTTATGGATGTAATACAATATCAATATTTTTTTTATTTGGAGTACAAGAAAACTACAGAGGTATTTTTAATTTTAAACTGCGTATTAAGAACAATTTTTAAAATTAAGATAGTTTTCAAATAACCGGATACTTTTTTATTTATCCTTAACTTACAGTATATTAGAACATTTATTAACATTTCAAATAATTAATACATTTAATCTTTTAAAAGAATTAAGTTAATACATATTAGCCAGGTGAATTCTGGTTCTCCTAATAATAGTAACATTCTGAAAATTTTGTTATACACAAGAAAATTTTTAAGAATACATTTACCAAATAATACAGATATGTCTTTAATGTTTGTAAACAATTTACACAAAAGATTCAGAACATTTACGCTATCAGACCTGAAATCTGGATGATGTGCAGAAAACGAGAGTATACTGTATAAGGATTTTGAAATACAGTCAATACTTTTATCTTGTATTTAAGTAAATAAATAAAATAAAATTCCGGTCGGAAAGCATCAGTAGGCAAAAAAAAAAAAATTTACACATCCATTGAAATAAAGTACTCCCTAATTTTTTAAATGAGCCTGCATGGAAATTATCGAATCAACATCAAATACAACTGGGTCCACCAGAATTACTGTTTACAAAAGGTATATTTTAGGCAGACAATAACTTTATTTTTAAATTTTAGTTATAATCATAATAATACAATTTTCTGTTTTGACAAACAGATAAACAATACCAAAAAAATAAATATAAACTTTATCTATAATTAATAGCGTAAAATGTTAATTTTTTTTATTTACAAACCTTTTTTTTACTGTACAATATAACATGTAAAAAATTTAAAAATTCTTCGTAAATAAATTCAAATGTACATTTATTTATTGTTTCCTTTCCTAATGTTATTCAAATATCGATAATTGCATAAAAATATGTTAGGCCAAGACCAGAGAAAAAGTAAAATACTTAAAAATAAATATGTAGAGGGGAAAAAAGAGGCCATGTTGATCGTTTAAAGCTTAATCTTCTTGGAGACTTGAGCAGGAAAATGTCTTGTACAAAAAAATAATTTTTAAAAAAATCTGGTACAAGAGTTTTCTTCCATTAAATATGGCATTTAGTTTGACGAGTAACTTACAAGAGGAGGCTACGAACATGTCCGGCTGTTCTTTACAATGGTTCTATGAGCCGAGGGAAAACAATTTTCCTGACTGCTGTGCAAGTTCAACATTATTATATATCAATCAATTTGTTTTTTAATCTAGGATAAAAGATTGTAATAAATAATATAAGATATATTAAAAGGTACAAAAATTATATCAGTAAATAGGACCAAAAAAATATTTTTTGAAAAACAATTCACATTCATTTTATAAGCACTGTTTAAAACTCATAAATACAAATTTTATGGGAAACAAAAAATAGGCATTTTTGGCTGGATTGGGGGGGGGGCAATTTTTTTCTCTTTGATGCCCCTACCTTAAAAAATTAATAACCCCTGTGTTTTATTCAAATTCAACGTTATTATAACCGTTGTTATGGTGGATTGTTATATTTTCCATGTATGTCAACAATGTTTATATTTTATGCCATTATAAATGAGAAAAATAAGGGTGAAATTGACAAAAAAAAAACCTCAAATGTTTATATCACCGGTTCTGATTTATTATGTTTATGCCATTACTTGTAATTTATAGAGTTCTAAGTTTCCCTACAGGTAGTCATTTTTAAGTGATCACCATTTTTGTGAATTTGAGGAAAAATTGTAAAAAAAATGCACTCGGAACAAAAAATTTTGAGGTGAAAAATGTATTTTTTTATTTTCCCAAAAATTTGTATTGAAGGGTTTTTGGGGGTGCAAAAAACTAATATCATATTTTTTGACTTAGTATCACCAAAAAAAAGTTCCATTAAAATCTATGAACCCACATCCGTAGCTTCCCCTTATCGGATATCTGCACTTTATTCATCTGGGTAATAATTGAATACTTTATCCTTACCCAGATTTTTTAAAATTATTATTTCCTTTAACACAAAATCACATACAATTACTTAATATGACAAAAAAAGTTCAATTAAAACACAATTATACTTTTTGTATAACATTATCGTGTTAATTCCTTTTGTCAGCAAGTCTCCTCGCATGTTAAATCTCTATTATCATCAATGATATAATAATGGAGTCTTAAATAATGTGACAGAACCTAAAGACTAACGTTGAAAACGTTTTTCAAAATTTATATATGCATAGCATAAAGTTACAAAATACATCAGTTGACATATATACATCAAACATTTGAGAACAAGTAGAAAGTTACTTTATTTAATAACCGCTAACCATTTTACAATATTTAGTTGTTTATTTTAATTGAACATGAGAAAATGCACCAGTGGTGCTTAATTATTTATTGTTAAGTTCTTGTAACTTAGAAGATCTATGAACAAAAATATTTTCCACCTAGTGTCATTATTAATATTTAATAGATTTCATTTAATCTGGGCAATCTTTCTAATACAAAAGGCATCCATGGAGTATTAAAGATTTATGCTATATTAGCAGACTGCATTATCAACCAAAAAATAGAATATTTTAATGAGTTTTTTATTTATTTATTTTTTTAATTGGGTTAAGGACATCAAACCAGTATGTGAACCAATATGCGAAGTTTTTTTTAGGGTAGAGATGACTAAAGAAAACAATAAGCAACAAAACACAACGATTTGACCTGATTGACCTAGTACTTTTTATAATATTAAAAAAATTGATATATTGGTCGGCTCTCTAGTTAGATTTCCTTTCAAGATTTACTGAAATGACAGTCAAAATCTACAATAGTTTTTTTTCTTTGAATAGGTTCGAACGGTTTCTAGAGTATAGGACGGAAATGCACAATAGTAACCTTATGTTCATCAGGTCTTCTAGCTATCAAATTTGACTATAAGATTATGAATTATCCTTAAAAAAAGAAAAGAAAAAGAAACTGCTTAAAAACAGAATATATAATAGAAGGTTTATATATATATATTTTTTAAAAATTTAGATGAGCTTTTTTAAAAAAATAGTTTTAATTACACTACCTATGATGGGTCTACAGCATCAAAATCTTTTTTGTGGGATGAATGAGAAGGAGTAGCTGGCCTCGAAGGCTTTAAAGTCGGAGTCGTACTTTTCGAACGTTTCGTCTTAAGAGATGTATAAGGTGAATTCCCTCTTGAAAAATGTTCCTGGGCGTAAAGCAGAACGCCTATATCTCGATTTCCAGCATTCATCGCGATTGCCAAAGCAGTACTGCCATCCTGTAACACCAGAAGATCAGAATTTATGATGATCCGAGAGGGGAAGGGATTTACTTACATAATCTGTTATACTTAAATCGCAATCTGGCTGAGCTAGGAGCAATTTAACTATATCAATACAACCGTGTTCTGCAGCACACATTAAAGCCGTGCTACCATCTTCATCTTGTATATTAACATCAGCGCCAGCCTCTAACAACATTTCTACAGTGTCAATACGACCGTGCGATACCGCCAGCATAAGGGCAGTTTGGCCATGCTGAAAAGAGAGTTAAGCAGAAGTTGTACATTTATAAAACTATTTGTCAATTTTTTTTAAATTAAATTTATTTACCTCTTTGGCTCGTATATTGACATCTGCCATATGGAAGAGACGTCTCACCACCTCTCGGTCTGTTTCAGATTTCACTTTAGTAAGAGCAACCAACATAATACACGTATATCCCGCTGTGTTTAATTTGTTGATGTTGCAAACTTTTGAATCGAGCAAAATTGATACAACATCAAAATTTCCATTAGACACGGCGTAATGCATAGCTGTATTGCCCTAGAATACAATTATCAAATGAAATAACAGTAAAAATTAGAAAATTTTTAAATTGACTAATTATATTTCACTAACTGTCACATCTGTCATGTTAACTATGTATTCCAGAAGTGTGCTGGAAATCTCCTCAAAGCAATCCAGATAATCTTCAACGTGTAATGGATTTGAAGTTGTCACGCTTGATATCTAAAATAAAATATATAATATAAATTATTTTACACTGTTAAAATATTTTTACTAGGATGCCACTTGTATTACAAGTTTAAGTATGACAAGATTGAACATTAGATTATGTATTCAGGCAATAATAACGACATTGCGCTTACATATCGGAAGGAAAGTGCCCAAGTATTAATGCCCATTATGTACTGAGAGAATAAGCGTTGAGCATATTTGTAACACATATATTAGTATGAATGAGGAGATATACCCCACTCCAAAGAATATGAAGTGCTCTGGGCGAGTGTGATGTCTGGATAGTAAACGTAATTTATTTGCGTGAATGAGGGGACGATACTCCAGTCAAAGGAATATCGAATGCTCTGGGTGTGTGTAATGCGTGGAGAGTAAAGTAATTTATTTGCGTGAATGAGCAGACTGTACCCCACCCCAAGGAATATCAAATGCTCAAGGTGAGTGTGATGTCTGGAGAGAAAATGTAATTTATTAGCATGAATTATGAGACTATACCTCACCAAAGGAATAATGAATACCTCTGGATAGGTATTATTCTTGAAAGTGAAAGAATTTATTAGTGTGAATGAGGGTACTATGACCATCTAGTTTTTTTTAATGGTAATTTGAGAACCTGAGGTAACAACAAGAGGTTAGCAAGAAACCAAGAGATAAGAACAAAAAACCCATGGAATTTTTCTTTTTATATGTAAAGGGCTGGCGATGATCACTAGAAGCTTGTCAGCCCATAAATACTAGCACTTCTTTTAAATAAGAGGACTATAAATTTTTCATCTGAAATACCTTGAACCATTCTTGCTGGATTATATTCACAGCCGTTTTCATATGCTTGGGAAAATCTTCAAACGGGGAATGTTGCAATGCATCGTTTAATACTTTCATTGCTCCTCTCATCTCCTTAGAAGGTTCGATTCTATTAACAAACCAAAACAGAATTAAATATTAAAAGCTGAAAAAAGATTACAAACACAAAAGGGCACATACTTTTTGTAATTCCGTGGCTTGGGAGATTGGGTGAGTAAAGATTCTAATTTAGAGCTGACAGAAGAACTGTCATGCAGAAAAGTGTAAGTTCCATCGTCAGAACCACTGCCACTATTGGTGTCATCATTTTTCAGCCTTAAAAAAAAATTAATAATAATAAAATAAATAATGGTAAAAAGTTCAGAAAAAAAAAACATAAAACCAAACATCCAAACTGATTAATTACTAAATTCCATCATTGCCGATACACTGCTAAAAGATTCAAATTTTTCTGTAATATTATAGGATTGTCTGCATTATATGTGTACATAAATATTTTGATTTTAACCCACCCTCTCCAACACCACATATCTAGAAATGAGGAGAACATGTTGGGACTCAATACGCACCCCTGTTTCATCCCAGATTCATGATTAATATTAAGCAATGTGAAAAGCAAAGCAATATAAATTTCTAAGAAAGCTAATTCTACGCTTGGCCTTTGCCCTCTTGTTTTTATGGATTGTTTAAATATTTGTATTTTTAGAAGTCTTTTCAGAGGATCTTCGGAAGAGGTCAAAACAGAGAAAACTTCCTTACGGTTTACGCCGAGCTTTCGACAGTTTTATACTGTCATCTTTAGGGCTTTAAAACCTTAATAGGAAATTAAACAACATGATGTTTTGGGCACAAAAGTACATTATGTTTTTTGGGGCTCAGCATCTCATATAAGTCTAAAAAACAATAAAATCCTCCTTTTTTTTAATTTTTCAGGTACATATGATCACAGTACGTTTCTTAAATATATATATATATACATATACAATTAACTTATTTTAAAATTTAAATAACAATAAAGTAGGATCACAGATCAAATCAATAAAGACCGATAAAAACAAACTCTCTACGACGAGGGGAAACAAAGGCTACGGGAAAAACCTTTTTCCAAAAAACATAATGTACTTCTTTAAATTTTAAAATAAGTTAATTGTATATGTATATATATATTTAAGAAACGTACTGTGATCACATGTACCTGAAAAATTAAAAAAAAATAGGATTTTACTGTTTTTTAGACTTATATGAGATGCTGAGCCCCAAAAAACATAATGTACTTCTGTGCCCAGAACACCATGTTGTTTAATTTCCTATTAAGGTTTTAAAGCCCTGAAGATGACAGTATAAAACTGTCGAAAGCTCGGCGAAAACCGTAAGGAAGTTTTCTCTGTTTTGACCTCTTCCGAAGATCCTCTGAAAAGACTTCTTGTATCCAGCAGGTCGATAATCTAGTTTCATCGTTACATTTGTATTTTTGTTTTAAGTGTTAGATGCATCGACCACTTTTCTACTCATGAATACTCTGGATCACTGTTTTTGGTCTTGATGAGAAAGTAAATTTAGTTGTTACTGTCAGCTTTTGACCTATTTCAAGGTCATCATCATCAGGGCTAAACAATCTTAAGGAAACATAATTAAGTTCACAAAATCATCAGTGATAAAAGAATGTCAATTCATAGACATATTTAATTGTTTTGCCCTGATGATGCTCTTAAAATAAGTCAAAACCTCGGCAGTAACAATCAAATTTGCTTTCTCATCAAGACCATACCATGAGCCAGAGTATTTTCTAAGTTTTTTCTTGAAGGCATTTAAAACAAAATTAATTGTTCTTCGAAGATTTTAACTTAAAAAACAGACATGTTGGCTTTTATGTTTTATAAGATTCATTTTTTTAAATTGGCTTATTTAAAAAATTAATTAATTAATCATTCAAATTGAGAATAACACAGGATGCCAACACTTAAATTCATTCAATTTTTCTAAAACTCCTTCAAGAAAAAGGCCTAGGAATAAGAAAAATTAAAAGTAAGCGATATTTTCTTGTAGTTTTCAGTCATCACACCACCACCATCATCATCATAGGTTGTGATGTAGATCATTATATAATCAATAGAAAAATGTGTAAATGGTAAAACCAACACAATTCAATGGGTGACTCACTCCGACAATTGGCTCGAATAATAGCAATCAAGAGAACCAACTACAACTGCTGTTTATATTTATACACATTCCAATTTTTCTTTATTAAATTTTACTGTCTTGATTAAATAAAATTAATTTTTACCTATTATTCACAAAATATGTGGGAAATCTTTAGATAAATAAAATAAATTTGTCTTTTTGTATAAGATATTTTATAAACTGTGGAAATAGTGATACTGATTACTGATTTATACAAGCTCAAATCTGAACAGAGTTGAGCCTATCGCTTCTCGCAGTCTGCTGGCAATTCCAGCTTTTGTAATTTACAATAAATTACCGGCAGGACTCAAGAATCACTCTCCCCGGGTGTTGGTAGTCTGGGGTCAGACCTTGTTCTTCTCTGATTCACTACTGGATGTCCTGAGCAACCTTTTTCTACATGGCAGACATACTCTATGTCCCAAACATAGGTGTATCTCAATCTTGCATGGCCTATCCTTATTCGAGTCAGGACGATGCCTCTTTGACGATTCAAATTCTCCAAGTATCACCATTCAATATTTAAGAGCTTCTTTGCCCATCTGACCGACCGACTGATGCTGCCATTTCCTTTTAACTAGATCTTTGATTGCGTTTTTAGAGTACGAGGGCCAGATTGTTCAGCTCTAAAGGATTAGGGTGTCCCAACCGTATGTGTAAGTCTATTAAGTAGAACACATCGTACAGCCCGTCTCTACACGGTGAACACATACTTTTTGGCCCAAAAGTGTGTGTCAATCTTGCAAGGTCTACCCTTAATGGGATGAAAAATGATCCCTCTTTGTACATTCAGATCCTCCAAAGGCCACCCACTGACCATGCTCTTGATATTTAACAGCTTCTTTGCCCATCTGACTGACTGAAGCTACCATTTCCTTTTAACTAGATCGTTGATTGCATTTTTTGTGTCTGAGGGCCAAATCGTTCATCAGCTCTAAAGGATTAGGAAGTCCCGACCTTTTGTGCGAGTCAATTAAGTAAGACGCATTGAACAGCCTGTCATGTATGTCAATCACGCATGGCCTATCCTTAATCGGGGTGAAAAATGATCCCTCTTTGTTGATTCAGCTCTCCGAGGGCCAAGCAAGTACCGTGTTCTTAATAAGTAAGAGCTTCGCTGCCGACCCAACCCACTGATGCTGCCATTTCCTATTGATTCCATTTTTAGCAACTGAAGGCCTGATCGCTCGTCAGGTACAGAGGATGAGATGTCCCAGGCTAACTCGCCCCATCTGCCTTTTGACCGTGGAAACACAACATTCCAGCTACTTGTTGTTTTATAGCGATTGACATTAGTGACATTTCATCAAAATACATTTAAACACATATTTCCTCTTTAAAAAAAAGCAAGGCGATTCAGGAGAAAGACAATGGTGAGATATGAATTTTTTTAATGCCAGATGTCAAAATTAAATGTTCATTTTTGACTGTTCCGAAGACTGATCAATTATAGTTAACGTTTAAATAGAATCTCATTCAATCCTGTAAGGTGAAAAAACCAAATAGAAAAAAAAGTTGGATAAAAAAATGGCATGCTTGATTTTTTGTTTTTTGCATACCTGTATATTTGGTGATTGTAAGATTGATATTCCTGCATACGGGTTTAAGTAAATGATAATGTTTAAAATATGAATAACGAATATTTTAAAATTTTGTTGACCAGAGATATTTGATTGTTTGAGACTAAGAACTAAAGGAAGGGCACGACCCAGTCGCGGAGCTGTTAGCTTATGATGATTCACAGACAGACTGGGTAGTGGGTAGTGACTGGTGGGTATGAATCACTATATCAAGTTGGAGTACAAGTTTTGTTTGTTTGATCCAGCAACGACAACAACCAGAATCGATTGTAGTCTGGAGTTAAAGTACAACCCCCAACCCTTAACGTGAGAGGGTGAAACCGTCGATAACAAAGGGTGATGTAACAGATCTTACCCCACTATTACACCCTTCACGTTCAAAATCGGTGCCGCCTCGGTTAACTATCTTTCGATGTATATCTCACAACATTATTATTTTTATTAACAATCGAATTTAAAGGTAAACCAATAAACTAATTAATTAAAGTAATAAACATCTTTCAAACATTCATGGACGAAAATATAGCCGTAAAAAAAATCGTTTATGAAAAAAATTGGAGTTTCTATGCAATCATCCGATTTATTAAACAAAGATGCCAGTTGTAACACTTGAAAACTAATTTGTTTATGATAAAATTTAAGGTTATATGCAATCTGTTGATCTATTAACCTAAGATGCCGGATTGTATCAAAAGAAAACTAGTTTGTTTATGCCAAAATTAAAGGTTATATGCTGTCTGTTGGTCTATTAACCTAAGATGGCAGATCGTATCGTAAGAAAACTATTTTGTTTATGATAAAATTTAAGGTTATATTCGATCTGTTGATCCATTAACCTAAGATGCCAGATTTTATCATAAGAAAATTAGTTTGTTTATGAAAAATTTAACGTTATATGCGATCTATTAACCTAAGATGCCAGATCGTATCATAAGAATACTAGTTTGTTTATGCCAAAATTTAAGGTTATTGCGATCTGTTGATCTATTAACCTAAGATGCCAGATTGTATCAAAAGAAAACTAGTTTGTTTATGCCAAAATTTAAGGTTATATGCGATCTATTGATCTATTATCCTAAGATCCAGAATGTAACGCAAGAAAACTAGTTTGTTTATGACAAAATTTAAGGTTATGTGCAATATCTGATCTATTAAAACACTCATCCTGAACATAGTTTGATCATTTATGAATATTTTACACACATTAAAAAAAATTGCATTATATGTTAAATTTTTTTCTAACTTGGTCACAACTTCTACATTATTTATGCACTACTACAAAACGCACACTATTACACAAACACTTAAAGTGTTTTGTTTTTCCATTTAGATTTAGAACAATTAAAAATTTCACTAACACAATACAAAACTAACAACACAAAACAAAAGCAGCCATCACAACTAAACTTTTCTCACCTGTCTAGTGTGGAATTCTTTAATTGGACTTCTGAAGTTGAGCCGACAACGCTCAAGGTTCGACCGTGTAATGGTTTAGTCCTAGGAAACCGCAATGTAAATGTATTTTAAACAGATTTATCAGATATAACAGGTGAAGTTCATAAGAGTTTCCTTTTTACTCAAAATAATTTAAATTTAGTTGAACATAGTTGTAAATAAATCCCATGCACCATACATCAGGAATTTTTATAAAGTTTATTTAACATGAGCTACAGTATTTTAATTAAACTGATTAATCGTCGAAGGTTGATATTTTAAAAGTTTAGTTCAAGGCCCTGTTCAGGGGTTTAAAGAAAACTATGGCATGCATCGAAGCCAACTTCTGTCATATTAGATGCAAAACACCCTAAACATGGTAGGTGATAATCAGTTTAAACATCAAACCTAGGAAAACTTCTCTCTTACCCTTCACAAGAGGAAGGAAGCTAAACCAAAAAGTACCCACTGTGAAAGATGAAATCTTAACTTAATCCAAAGAAACTAAGTGCCTAGGTATAACAATGAACAAAATAGTACATAGGAAATGTACTAGGGGTAAAGGGGTCGACTTTCTTCCAAGCAGAAGTCCATGCCATCCAACTCTTGAACAGATCAACATTTTTTCGGGGAGTCAGAACTGTAGAAGTTATATAGGCAACTTCATAAGGTTATGTTGAGGTCCATGCAATCCAATTCTGTGCATAGGAATTGATAAAGAAGAAAATGAGGGGTGCACAGATCTACTTTCGAACAATCAAACAATAATAAAAGTACTAAATGCATTTTAGCTACAAACCAGTCTGGGAAGGCTTAAATTGCCTAATAACACAAGGAAAACACAAGGTTACCCTGAGGTGGGTTCCAAGACATGAAGGTATAAGCTATTTCTCACCCTTGGGACTGTAACCACCACACACCGAAGAGTCCCAACAATATTCGAAGTTGACGTCCATGCAATCCAATCTGTGTGTAGGAGTTGATACAGAAGAGAAGGACTGAATGAAGACTACTTCCAAGTTGTGCTAAGTGCTACATAAGTATACTTTTAGCTCCAAAATAGTCTGGGAATGCCTAAAATTCCCTGGTGGAAAATACCAGGTTACTTTAAACTCCAGGACATGGAAGGGGCATCGTTGAGATGCCGATCATCAGATTAGCCACCTACTCCTTCAACATATTGGCAGTAATTAAGGCCAGTACATTAATGGCCAACATAAATGAACTGCCAATGTGCAGGGTGCCGATAGGCATAGGAGAATGCACTAAAGTTAGAGCTGGAAAAAGGTCTTGAAAAAGAAAAACTTAACAAATGGACAAAATGGACCGGGTATGAGGCAGGCTAAGAGATTTATAAATCTTCTAAAAAATAAAGGCAATGGAAATCCTCTCTTTCAGCAGGCAAGATTTGAGGAAAATTATAGTAATCCTCTATACCAGTTACTGTCCTCCAAATAATTTATATATTTTCTAGGGCAATATTTATAGTATAATGTTTAAATAGTTCTGAAATTGAATATAAAGAACTCAGATAGTATTGTTGGTATGAACTTACGGAGTTGGTAGATTCCTTGAAGGTGAAGGTGATGTCGGTTTACTGTTGTGCCTCTGAATTGAAATAGGTAGATATGACGGTCTTTTAGGTGTATTTTGTTGTACTGGCTTAACTTGATTTTCTTGTTGTTTCGCACAATTTCTACAGGGCAAATCACAAGTGTCGAGAGCTGTACTGACAGATTTCATTTTCATTGTATTAACCCCAACATCCCTTGCGAGAATAAGGTCTTCTGTATCTGTGCCCAGTGATTCTGACCTCACTTTAAGAATTCTATTAAAATCAAATGGTTCAGAGAGGAGATTGTCTTGCATGGTGCCTAATTCAGGGAAGTTTGTCGAGATTGTGAACCGCTGCACGTTACATTTCTGACACTCTTTTTGTTTTACGGTATCATCCGATACACCGACATCCCGAGTTTGACAACTTGCTTGACAAGTATTATCATAGACTCTGGGTACTGCTGAAATGGCGACATCTTGGCATTTTTGAGCAGTCTGTGAACTTGCGTTGCATTTGTCAAGTACTTTAGTAATTTCAACGGCTTGCACACCAACACTCGTCATCAATAACTTCTTCGTTAAGGCATTATTTAGTACATTTTTTTCATACAATTGAGTATTTTTTTTAATCTCTTCGTCTATATCTTCTTGCGTGAAAACTTGGTGACGGTTTAAGTTTGTCGACGTTTGTACATGTTTTAAATTACTTATAGTGGAAGTTTGTACGTTTTTAAGTTGAATTGTTTGCGTAGATGTTTGGACATTTTTAAGATGTGCCTTTTTTGCATCAATATTAAGTTTCACTTCCTTATCTAGATCTGCCTTTGTGTATATATCATTGACCAGTATTTCAGTTAACGTTTCGGCATTTTTCATTTTCAGCTTAATAATGGCTCTTTTGAAATTTAATTTTTCATTTACATCATCTTCAGTGAAAATATCGTCTAATTTAAGCTCTGTCGATGTTGCCGCATTTTTAAATTTGAATGATGGAGGCGTTCCGATAATCTTGTTCAATGAAATTGTGTCACCATGTTCTTGGTTTAATAATTCTTTAGTGCGTTCGCCAGTCGGTAGGGGGTCAGTTCCTGTCGATATCATTGCAGGTGTCATCATTGCTACCCCAACTTCTCTTGTTAAAACCGTACAGCCGACACCAACTGTCCTAGTGTGACAAATGTCATATGTACTAGTAGCAACATCTAAAACAACGCAAATAGAAGACAGTCAATCTTTGATTACAAGGGTTAACATACATAATATAACAATTTCAATACCTGATTTTGTCTTGATTTCTCTTTTCTTTGGCATTTCATTGCTTGACTTTAATGAATCGTGTAATTTAGAATTTTCCTGTTGTAGCTTTTGAATTTCTTCCTACAAATAAAAACAATTGTTATATGAATATTTTGGAGATACATAATATATCTATTTACTTTGTGAAAATCAGGTTTAAGGATAAATATGGGATGCATAGGAACCGACTTCTCTTTGAATCAGATGCAAAACACCCTGGACATTGTAGAAAGATGGTGTGAGAAGAGTTTAAATATCTACTCTATGAAAACATCTATCATACCATTCACAAGAGGAAGGAAGCTAAACTTAAAAGCACCCACTCGAAAGATGAACCCTTAGCTTTCTCCAAAGGAACCAAGTACATACAACCAACCTTGAACAAAGGGTTAAACGGAGAAGTCATGCAAATAGCATACTACACAAGGCCAAGATACTACTAACCATTGGCCAGAGAGGCTAAACCTAGAAGCACCCACTACAAAATATAAAGCCATAACTATTCAGAAATCGTGAGATGCGGTCTGGTGTGTGCATCTCACGATTTCTGAATAATTATCGACTAACGGTCACTAATTACCACATAAAGCCATAATGTTTTCCAAAGAAACTAAGTACCTAGATATAACCCTTTCTCCAAAGAAACTAAATACATAGGTATAACCCTTGAACAAAGGGTAAAAATAGAGAAGTCAAATAAATAGCATACTACTAACTATGAGAGGCTAAACCTAAAAGCACCCACCCTAAAATATGAAACCATAACCTTTTCCAAAAAACTAGGTACCTCTACATATAACTCTTGTGTTAGGCACTATTAAGCATAAGCCAAAGATTGTGCAGTAAAAACTGGGGAGAACAAACCTCAAGGTGTATGTAGGTTAATCACCAAAATGGTCAGACCTCTAGTAACATACGGAGCTCTAGTATGGTGGCCAATAACACTGAATAAGGAAGCAAATTGCCAACTCTAGAAAGACTAGCTTGTCTTGAAGAGGGATGATGCATACTTGCACAGCAATAGTGATGGAATCTGCACTTCACCTCGTATTCATATACAAAAGGTAGCTTTTGGATATTTCCACAAAATTCTCAAGAGAATTCTCAGATGGCTATAATAGTACTTGAAAAATGAGGGGAGTGCTCAACTTCGTCAGACCCTTTCAAGTGGTCATAGATATTTGGAAGAAAGACAACTTGGAGTTTCAAGAAGATGTTGGATGAAATTACACCACTCTAGCAAAATCCCATTAACTAACCAGTCAGTCTATTTTCCAAGCTGAGGTCCGTGCAATCCAGCTCTGGGCACAGGAGTTGATGGGGAAAATGAAATGTGCACAAATCTGCTTTCGGACAGTCAGGCAGCTATAAAGCACTGAAGGTGTATGTTTGTAGCTTCAAACTAGCCTGGAAATGCCTAAATCGCCTAATGGACCTAGGGAAACACAAGGGTACCTCAAGGTACCGGGACATGAAGGTATATGAAGGACATAGGCTGACCAACTAGCCAAAGATGGGGCACAACTAGCTGTGCTAAATTTGTAGCTGGAAAAATGGCTTGAAAAAGAAAAACTCAGGCATGTTAAGAGATATATAAATTTCAGAAAAAAAGCGAAGGAACTCTTCTCTCTCAGCAGGCAAGATTTGAGGAAAATCTAGTCTCAACTACCAACTTACAAAGGAGGGCAAAGCACAGAATAATAAAAAGAGAAATGCACAGAGAGTCACCGAGAGAAGAGGTAAAAATGAACTCGCCAGCAATAAACAAGGTGTTTATTAATTTTACTTTAAAAAAACTAAGTTATCTGTAATGATTTTTCAAAATTAAATGAAAAACAGTAGACAATCCTTATCTCCACTTTCACTCATCCGTGGTTGAGAACTCACTGATGAAAAATTGGTAGAATTCATCAAATTAACCACAGTGTAGGATGAAGAAGAGGATAAAATAGAAGAAAAACAGGAATAAACAATATAAAAAATTGAAGAAATTTTTGATTAGATGAACAATTGAAAATCATAAATTATGATCCAATAATGGAACAAAGCGTTAATGCAACATGATTGCTAACTCAAGGAATGGACCCTCTCCAATAAAATTTGCGACAGTTGAAAATCCAGACAAAGCAGCTTACTATAACGAGAAAGCTGAAAGAGCAAACTTTGCCAGTTCATCGTCATCTACTTCTAACTGTGGAAAGTATATTTTTTAAAATCAATGTTATCTTTTTTAGGACCAATGACGTTCCTCATTTGTTTTGATATCGTGCAAAGATGCATACCTGTTTATGTATGTATATACATATTGTTTTCCTGTATAGATTGTATTTTTCTTATTGAAAAAGCCTTAAAAAACAGTATAAGTTCATACATAATACTGATGATACAAGCGATATAGAAAGCGTCTGATTGATATGCAGATAGAAGAAAATGCTTTGAAGCCTGAAATTTGGTTTGTTTTCTACATCATAAATTCAAAAGTGGGTAAATGAATATTCCAAATGTATTATAACAATAAGAGGGTAATTAACTTGTTTCAAATTGAATGAATTTAATTAAAATACCTTTAATCCAGGAATCAATTTGATTTCATCCTCCAATTCCCTCATACGCTTTAAACTTGTAGCCATTTGCTTTCTAATGGTCTGAAATTTAAGAATTACTGTTATTACACAGAAATTTGCACCAATAATATTTAAAATTGGTATCTAATTGTGTGTTAATTGTTTAAACCATGAAATTATAATACATTTTATAGTAATTAATTTTTTCTTCAGTTTATTTCCTAATAAAACATTTTTTATTACGTATAACTTTAATTTATTTTTCTTCTTCAGGTTGTTTCTCTAGATTTGATTTTTGGTTAATGTTTTATATACGAAGAGACAGGTACAAACAATATTTATTTTTAATAATTAAATCGTTTTATAAATAACAAAATTACCTATAAAATGTAAATCACATTTATTCATGAATATACTTTCTATGGACCAGATAATAGTAAGTTGAGGTCAATAAAAATGCATGCAAACCTGGTACTTGACAATACCCAACATTCTTTAGAGCTGTACACTAAAGCTCATCGAAAGATGGCATCATCGGTGAGTGGGGTCTTCCGAGACATTGCATGTCAAGAGCATGACTTGTATATCTCCCCCCTGAGAACCTGAGCCGGAAAAGAGATATCATTCTTAAACGATTAAGAATAGGTCATATGCGGTTGACAAACACCCCTTATGTGGAGAAAGGTTGCATGATGTGTCCCACATAACAGAAGCTTGTCATGCCTTGGCTCCTTACAGAGAGCATGTAAGGCGGGCCACCAAATTTAAGAATGGTTCTTGGGCACAGTAGTGAGTTTCTGGATCCACTGTTTCGCTTGTGTGGTTTTTTTATTGCATATAACATCCGTTTTATATGTTTTGTTTGAGTGCATTTATTTATTAGTATGAGTGGTGAGGTGAAATGTAGCATCACTAATGCCACTCCAGCAGTGTATGTGTTTAAGGTCGATGGTGGAATAGCACATCAACCCTAATTTATTTTAGATTATTAATATTGTGTGTTGGTTGATGGAAGAATGTTGTGTACTCCACTGACTAATCAGGTTTGAATGTATTTATTGGTGCGACTGTATTATAAAAGTTAGTTAGTTCTAGGCTAGATTATAGTTTGCATGCAATGGGGGCTGAAATGACCTAGCTGTTAAAAGCCTTCTTGGAGTCTAACCCCATTGGTTAGGAAGTTAGGAATCTCCTAGATATCTGGCTTAGCGACCCAGCCAAATGAAGGGGTAGGTTAAAACCCCTGAGGTATAGACCCTAGGGTCAGCACATTGGGTAGTCACAACCCTTTGGGGCTAAAGCTCATTGAAACATGCTTATTTACAATTTGAATTTTTCTTAATTAGAGAAAAATCTGTTATAATTATAATTTTTAAAATTAGCTATGTTCTTGTGGGAGTTTATTACTGAAGATAGCGTGAAGCCAAAAGACAAAAACCATTGGGAGTAAACAATCCTAGTGCTCTCCGAGTTGCAAATCAACAACCACCACCAATTTGAATATATAATATGAATGGTAAATTGACCTAAAAGCTTTATTTGTTTTATGTTACTATTGAAACATGTAAAGTAAATAATCTATTGTTAATTTTAAACCTGCAACATCTCTGCACTTGCATTATTGACATCGCTGTGGGTTGTAACTTCCGCTTCATTTTTCGATATAATTTTTGCCTTTCCCTCATTTTCCAATTGACAGTAGCTTGAAGGAACAGAAAATTTATTTCGCTTCAAATTATATCTATCTAAACTACCTCCATTGTAATGAGAATTTTCATATTTTGGCCAGTCTAAAATCAACAGATTGTAAGGATAATATGTAAATATTTTAAAATAATTTTATACTGAAAGTAACGTACCTTTTGAGTTGTACACATGAGTTCCCCGAGGAAGAGATGTATTGAGTAAAGTCTTTTCAAAATCAATTACAGCCCTCTCAAGATCATCTTCCACATCTTGTGAACCTCTCGTTGTAATTTTTTCATGCTGTACCTAAACAGAATTCTTGTATGTTTGATCAAAAGCATTATTAAAAACCATGTTGAAAATTTCTATTTACGTTTGAGTAGTCTGTCAAACCTAGTAAGGCTTCTCGAGACGCTCTTTTTCGCTTGATATTACTGATGCGTTTTCGAGAAGTATCCGGCATCAACTGAGAATTTGTAATTGATTCGCAGTATCTTACAAAATCTAGATCAATGTGGTAGCCATACGGACAGCAGCAACATCTTCTTCTTCCTTTTGACAAATTTAAAGGGTAATTATTAAATGATTTTTTTTTAGATATGGGGGTTGAATAAGGATTTTAAAAATACACCTTTATAGAATATTGACTTTTCAAGTGTTTTTTTGCCAATTTAGAGGTGAGATATGATCGTTATTTTTGAGCAAAGGGATGACCATAGCTTTTATGAACTCAGTTGGAAATTTACCATGTTGAAAACCTAAGATTAAAAATATAAGGCAAAGGTTTCGGTAATCCTTTCCTCCAATGCGAACTCTACAGATCTATTGTGGAACTCCTATAAATTTTATAAACATACCTTGGAAAATGGTAGACTTTTTCATATGAGCCTAAGCACCCTCCTTGGTGCCACCTCGTGCACCTCTTTTGTGTGAGAATTGCCTTACCAATGTGGCTGTACTGTAACTGGGCTTTACATTCACAAAGGATAAGTACCAATGTTTCTGTTTCCTCCAGAGCTGTTTCTGTCTCTGCTTTGCCCATCTTCTTCAGATGATAGTTAAGAGAGCAGTGACCGGTATAGAGGCTTATAATTTTCCTCAAATCCTGCCTGCTGAGGGAGAATCCAGCCTCCTTCGCCTTCCTTTCTGAATGATTTGTAAATCTCTTAGCTTGTCTCATACCTGTTTGAGTTTTTCTTTCTCAAGCCATTTTTCCAGTTCCAACTTATGTACACACCCTGGTGCACCTAGTTGTGGTGCTGGTCCCACGGGTCCCTTTTTTTCTAATTGGTCAGGCTTCTATACCTCAATTTCTTCTATACCTTCATGTCCTGATAGTTTAAAGTAACCTTGTGTTTTCCTTTGTCTATTAGGCAATTTTTTCCAGAGTAGTTGCTATAAACATACCCATTTACTTCCTTTATAGCTGCCTGACTGTCTGAGAGTATGTAAATCTATGCACTTTTTGTATTCTTAGTTGACTGTGTGGACTTCAGCTTGGGGAAATTGTTTGGCTTAGTCAAAGGGGCTTTGCTACTGTATAGTTTGTCCCTTTTTATCCCAACACGTACTCCCTGCCTGTTCTATCTTCGATCCATCTGTTCTATCTTCCTATAAATCTTTACATGCTAAAATTCCTAGAGCAAGTTCATTCCTTTTTGTCTTAAATTTCCCAGATATAAATATCATACAAAAAGGATGTAAATTTTAACCAGTAAATGTTTAGACTTCTGGGATCTACTCTACATTTCACCACATTACACAACTATAGAAATAATAAAACTCTTGAAAAGGATTGAAATAAGCTTCAAACATTTAACATTACATATCCAAACAAAGAGAAAACCCAACTGTAACTTAGAAATGTGAAAATTGCATTTTATGTTCTTTTAAAATAAATAATATAGTATACTTATACGTTTTAATGGAAGTATTCAGTTTGATGTTAAAACATCTACGTACATTCAGGTGTGGCATATGAATATTTCATCCGATAAAAGAATTGTTTGAATTGTGACATTAGAAGATTAATATTTGAACAAATTGTTTCCAGATCTTGAATTCGACTTTTAACCCATATTCGAAATTATGAAATGCCACATTTTTATTAGTACAAAGTGTAGAAATTTTGATTACATGGGAACTGTTGGGATTCAATAAATCATACACATTTTAATCATTTAAACCAAATTAAAAAAAAAATTTACAATAAACTTAAGAAATTTGGAAGTTGAGTTAATATTTTGTATGGAGCAGAGATAGCATTTTTTGTGAAATGGTGTGTCAATTGAGCCTGAATCCATCTGCTAAGTCAAGTCCAACCATCTTAATGTCCAAAAATAGAAAAATTAAAATTTCTCAAGGACTGATTGGGAGATTATTTAAAATAATTTTGTTGTTGTTTTTAGAATGGAGAGCTCGTTTCAATGAGCCAGATAAGGTATTTTGAATAGCAGAACCAATAGCGCCAATGGATTTTATATAAAAATACAATAAATAAATAAAAATATAGCTTTAGAGAAGAATATTGTAGCATTGGAAAATTATCGCTTTCAATGGAACCATTCTGTCAATTTAAACAAATAAAAAAACCATGGTTTTTTGTAGGGAAGTAATGCTGGAACATAGGGTTCACTGGTTTTTCCAGGTCCAACGAATCAAATTTGTAAATTAGTATAAGTATCTGGGGCTCATCTTACACTAAAACTCTCTCAGACTCCTCAACATAAAAACATTTACACTGTCTGAATTTGTGTTTAATGATAGCAGCCTCAAACCACTCTTTCCAACCCGATTCAAAGTTTAAGGTATTTAAGGCTGAATGACAATCAATAGTGTGCTATGCTTTTCAGATTTAGGTATACCAACGTTTCGATTTAGTCGAATTCTTTCAATGTTTCTTTATTAAAAAAATATTTCTGACTTTAAACTACAAGCTCTACTCACACAACAACAAGAGATATGAGAAATGTGCTTGAGCAGTGAGTATTTGGGTCCTCTATCCCGATTGTAGGAGGACACAGGGTGTTTTATTGTTCACAATACTGATATTTTGTTCTATATTCCCTTTGAGATTGAATGTATTTATTAGCGTGAATGTGAAGTGAGAGAGGGAGGATGATAGAATTGAGCACCCCATCAACCCTTAAATAGGTTATTTATATGGTATATGCAAAGGGATTTGGATTTCGAATCGTATAAGGTATATGCAAAGGGTTGTTTGATGTGTTTCACTCAATTGAAGAGTAGTATTTCTACTCTATATGGAATCAATGTGAGAATTGTACTTGAGCAGCGAGTATTTGGGTCTCATGTCCCAATTGATTAAAGAAACAAGGCTGTTTTATTGTATACAATACCGATATCTCGCTCTATATTCCCTTTGAGATTGAATGTATTTATTAGCGTGGGTGGTGTTTGAGGACCATTAGTTCATGATTATTTAGAGATCGTGAGATGCAGTCTGGTGTGATCTGAGTTTAGGAAAAAAATTTTTTTTTTAAGTGCCAACATTCCCATCTTTATTGCATCTTCAGGGCCTGGGATTTATAAACATTGTTTAAATTATACAAATACATGTAAGATGTGAAAATGAATTTATACAATGATGTACACAATATAGAAATTTTAGGTTTAATCAAAATACACAGAAAACACACACTTTGAGTGACTACAAATCCTTCAATTAAACCTAAAACTTTAATTTCACATCCTTCATTGTTTCACATCCTTCATGTATTTGTACAATTTAAACAATGTTTATAAATCCCAGGCCCTGAAGATGATCTCAGTAAAGCTCGAAACGATGGCACGATAAAGAAAATGTTTTTCTAAACCTACATCACGCCAGACCACATCTCACGATCCATAATGATCATATTTATTAACATGAGTGTATAGCGAGGGAGGAAGATTGATAGAATATTGAGCACCCCATTGATCCTCGAATAGATTATTTATATGGTATATGCAAAGGGATTTGGATTTGTATAAGGTATATACAAAGGGATTTGGATTTGTATAAGGTATATGCAAAGGGATTTGGATTTGTATAAGGCATACGAAAAGGGATTTGGATTTATATAAGGTATACGAAAAGGGATTTGGATTTGTATAAGGTATATGTAAAGGGATTTGGATTTATATAAGGTATACGAAAAGGGATTTGGATTTGTATAAGGTATATGTAAAGGGATTTGGATTTGTATAAGGTATACGAAAAGGGATTTGGATTTGTATAAGGTATATGTAAAGGGATTTGGATTTGTATAAGGTATACGAAAAGGGATTTGGATTTGTATAAGGTATATGTAAAGGGATTTGGATTTGTATAAGGTATACGAAAAGGGATTTGGATTTGTATAAGGCTATGCGAAGGGATTTGGATTTGTATAAGGTATATGCAAAGGGATTTGGATTTGTATAAGGTATATGCAAAGGGATTTGGATTTGTATAAGGCATACGAAAAGGGATTTGGATTTGTATAAGGCTATGCGAAGGGATTTGGATTTGTATAAGGTATATGCAAAGGGATTTGGATTTGTATAAGGTATATGCAAAGGGATTTGGATTTGTATAAGGCATACGAAAAGGGATTTGGATTTGTATAAGGCTATGCGAAGGGATTTGGATTTGTATAAGGTATATGCAAAGGGATTTGGATTAGTATACGGCATATGCAAAGGGATTTGGATTTGTATAAGGTATATGCAAAGGGTTATTTGATATGTCTCACTCAATTGAAGAATAGTATTTCTAACATGTTCTCTATATGGACTCGATGTGAGAATTATGCTTGAGCAAGGAATATTTGGGTCCTCTGACCCAATTGTTGGAGTTTTATGCTGTTTATTATATATAGTTTTGATATCTTGTTCTGTATTCCATTTCAGATTAAATGTATTTATGATACATAGCGTGAATGTGTAGTGAGGGAGGGAGGATGATAGAATACTGAGCATCCCATTGTCTCTCAAATTGATTATTTGTATGTCCCACTCAATTGAAGAGAGGTAATCCTACACGCTCTCTATACGGACTCGATGTGAGAAATGTGCAGGTAGTGCTTGGGTCCTCTGTTTCTATTCAAAATTTATTCTATTGAAAATGTAGGATGCATTAATAATATATTAATAAATTCATATAAGCTTTGGTAAATATGGCAGGTAATGCCTTTTGGGCAGAGACTGTCAGGAAGATCAAAAGTTTGTATATCACGAGAAAAAGAATAGTCGTCTATATCTTACTCAAAAGCTTTAAGAAAGATCTGTTTTTCTTTCTTTCAATTTCGCCTTATTCCAGACTTTTATGCACAATCATCCATATTAACACTAACATATTAACAATCATACATTATCACTAGTATTTCCGTTGAAGAACGGAAAATATTTACCTGACATTTTTCCAGACTGCCTTTCCGATTTATGATTCGTTTCTAAAACAGCTGCCATCGTGGTATCTAAAACAAAGCAAAAACAATTCGTTAAAATTGCAATTATTTATAAGAGTACTTTGAGATGAATACATTATATTGAGTTTCTTTGTTCATAAACGATGTAAATAAGTAATTGAAAAACGATAACTCTACAGGTGGTACTGAATGGGTCTTCTGCTCTGAAGGAAATCCTTGTGCCTTAGAACGGTAAAGAGTGGTCAGTCAGAGGTCAGCTTCTGATGTCTTGTGAGAGTGCAGGTCAGGATTCCCAGGTAAACAGCCTTATTTGACAGGACCAGGTACAAAATTGTGTTTTATTGGTTTGAAAATGGTAGACCGGAATACATTGTACATTTAGATAGGCTGCATTTTTTCTCTTTCTTTAATAGCAGGATCATCCTTGAAAAATTACAATTCCTTCCTCGTCGCAACTCCTTGATTTAAACTCGCTATTAAGAATTAGGAGTAATTATTAGAATACTTATCTAATTTTTTTCAAATTGTCTAAGTAAGTCTTGGTCAATCTTTTTCAAATAGAATTCAAACTTGTTGAAATCAATTTTGGCTTTTTCTTATTCAACAATTTCAGATGTTAAATTATTTTTTTGTTTTTTAAGCTGAGGTTCGCAACAGCAGAACAACCCCTTGATTTCCGGTGTTTTTCTATTGAATCGCAGATTTCAATGAAACTTTTGGTGATATATACATACTAGGTCGAAAAAATAGGAGCGTAGGTACATACGCGTACTGTCTTGCGTATGTATTTCGAAGATATTATCGAAAAAATTGCCATCCGGCGCCCAGGTAAATTCAGCCAAAAAAAAAAAAAACATTTAATTTTTTGTGTGCTATAAAGATTTATATCTAAGGGTTTTGAAGGGTACTTAAAATGAATCCGAATAGTTTTTTCTTCAATAAAAACATTTTTTGCCCAAACTATCTTGTGCATGGATTTCAAGGTTATTGTATATCAGTCGATTTGTTTTTTTGACCTAGGATATTAAAACTATATCCAGGATTGTACTGCATGAGATTATATATATATATATGAAAAGTTATAAAAAACGAAAGACCCTTCCAATAAAGTCGGCTAAAAGCTTGTTATATCAGAAAAACCAATTTGTATTAANAAGATTCTAAGTTACTGTAAAGTTTCATGAAGCTCAGTTCAAAATGTTGACAGAGAAAAACTGTTTGGGATGCAAAAAAAAAACGAATATCAATATCATTGGTTTCTTGCTAAAAAAGATTAACCTACTTTTCTAAGTCGCAGGGTAATAAAATAATTATTGTATTTCATATAAATATAAAATTGCTCGCGTTCATTGATTCAAGCAAAGTAGACAGAAATATTTTTTTTACGAGAAACAAACTTAATATTCGTTTTTTGTACCCCAAAAGATCACTGAATACAAATTTGAATCACAATTTTACGTCTTCGATAACTATACTCCAACCCCACAAATCTGTAGGAAACTTGTGTAGTTACTAGTTTTTATAACCACCCTCATAAACTACACTTAATGGCACAAACCTGGCCTTCGTAAATAAATTAGAACCGGAAATATAAAATAAGATGTTCGAGGTGGTTTTGTTTATTTTAACATTATTTTTCTCACTTATAGT